TTTACACTTACTAATTATTATATTAATTACAAGTCACACCCATATTCCACAAACGGCATGGCACTTTAAAGAAATGTACCACACAAAAGAATGACACATAGTAGATGATTAAATTGGAATAGCGGGAAATAATTACAGGAAACTAATACATCATTATAGTTTATATTAGTGATTTTGATTGTATGCACCAAGTCAATACTTTTGGAGCTTGAGAGATGACTCAAGTGGTAAAGTGGTACAAACATAAGGGCCTAAGACCAGATGCTCAGGCAGAGAAGTATGTGACTGTCAGCTCTGCACTTCAAAAGGTGGGTATGAAGATCTTAGAGTTTCCTGGACAGCCAGTCTAATAGAATTGGTGGCCTGGAGGCTTAGTGGGAAATCTGATATAAGAAAATCAAACTGACAACAATAGAGAAAGGCACTTGGTGGCCTCTGCCCACCCCCAGCCTGTATCCTTGACAAAAAGACCCATAAAGTTGGTGAGATTTTGAAGTTCCAAAGTGAAGTGGGACTCAAAAGCAGTTTGAAGATTTGGTGTGTTTACAAGAAAAAACCAAACCAGATGTTTGGGAGATTCCCACTCTTTTCCAGGACAAAGAACCAATCGAAATCTGCCCTATAGGTTTCCGGATGTAAACATTGTTTTCAAGTGTTTAGCTGATGATGCCACGTTCTTCTCTGTGAAAAATGATGTAGGAGCAATCAAATTAAATATAAGCAAACTTTTAAAAAGCAGCACAAGAAACACTGGATAAATATCTATCTGTCTGATGGTTTGACTTGATTCAAGAATAAACCTTGAATTAAAAGAGGGTGTATTGTGCTTGGACCACTCAAAATTCCCATGCAGTAATACTAGGGCTTAGTAAGGCTTTTATATATGTACACAAATGAACTGCAGGTTAAGAACCTCCAGTGTTAAAGATTGAATGAACCACCTGTGGTGGCGTACACCTCTAATCTCAACACTTGGGAGACAGAGGCAAGCAAATCTCTGTGAGTTGGAGGCCAGCCTGGTCTGATTTATAGCGTAAAGTCCAGGACACCCAAGGCTTCACAGAGAAATCCTGTCTTGAAATACAAAGAGGGAGGGAGAGAGAGATAAAGAGGGAGAGAGAGACGGAGAGAGAGAAAAAAAGAGAGGGAGGGAGGGAGAGAGGGAAAGGAAAAAACAAAAATCTCTTAGCTTTTCAAATATTACTTGAAAAGTTGTCCTAGTTTGGGTTGCTATTGCTTGAAGAGACAATATATGGCACTTTTACAAAGGAAAACATTTAATTGGGGCTGATTTACAGTTTCAGAGGCTTAGTCTATTATCAACATAGTGGGAAGTATGGAGAGTGCAGACAGACATGGTGCTGGAGAGGGGCTGAGAATTCTACATTTGGACCTTTCAACAGCAGGAAGAAAGAGTGAGCTACTGGGCCTAGGTTGAGCTTCTGAAACCTCAAATTCCATCCCCCAGTGACGTGACGTACTTCCTTCAACAAGGCCGCACTTACTCCAACAAGATCACACCTAATAGTGCAACTCTCTATAAGCTATTAGGTCCATTATCATTCAAACTACCACACAAGTATTATTTCATATAACCAAGTTTTGCATAACAATATATTAACTGTGTGGCAAACAGAATGAGACTGTAGGTACAATATATTTTTAGGCTGAAAATATTTTGCCCATTAAGGGAGGAGCGGTGAGCTCTAGGAATCAGCTGGCACTAATGAGATGACTAAAATCCATTTTCTATAGTCAGGCTGAAGGGGTCTCGTGGTTTTCCATAGGAAACAATTTAATGGCAAATAATCTGTGCACAAATGATTACAGTTCAATAGTTCAGTGCCATAAAGCAAGGCTATGTAATTTTGGTCTAAAATTTGTCTGAATATTTGTCATCAATCACTCATAGTAACTGTAATAATTGTATTTAGTCAATGATACATATTTCAAATTTAATAAAATTAGTGGTTAGCCTTCCAACCTAAGTAGATTACAAATGGTCTTCTCATTCTGCTAAGTTGCATGCTGGAACACCAGATGATTTAAGAACAATAGCACTGGGCTGGAGAGATGACTCGGTGAGTAAAGGTGCTTGTCACCAAGGCTGATGACCTGAGTTCCATCCATAGGACCCTCATGGTGGAAGGAGATACTCCTGAAAATTGTCCTCTTGCCCTTATTTGCATGTGATACACACACACACACACACACACACACACACACACACACACACACACATTTTTGTTGTTGTTTTTCAAGACAGGGTTTCTCTGTGAAGCTTTGGAGGTTGTCCTGGAACTAGCTCTAGTAGACCAGGCTGGTCTTGAACTCACAGATATCTTCCTGTGTTTGCCTCCCATGTGCTACCACCACGTGGCTCACAAATACATTTAAAAAAATTAAAATAAGATCACTTGCCAAAAAATTGTTTTAGAACAACTCATTGTAAGCATTTTTAATGATTTAGATGTTAAAATTTCTCAGGAAATTGACACATCCTGCATTGTTTGATCCTGGAAATCCTACTGGGGAGATGTGTTTGAAGGGCACCTACTATGCAACCAGAAAAACCATTTATTATGTACATACAACACAAGGAAGAGGGGTCAGCTAGTCTCTGTGGGAGGTCTCTGTCCTGGAGAAGTCTCAGTCTGTAATCATCAAGGAGAAAGTTGTGGATGATGTTTGCTGTATACACTGTCAGTATTCACACATGAGACAGGGGGAGGCATTGCCATTTCCTTGAGCCTGACCCAGGGTAGGCTTTGTGAATCCCATGAGTCTGAATGATTGAGATCATTTTATGCTGTGCTAACATCAACAACACAATGCATCTGTATGTGCTACCCACAGTAAACTGCAAAAAGTCATGTTCTCATCGTATAGAAAAACTCACTGAGGTAGAGGGAACATTGGTGAACAATCTAGACAGTCTTTGATGCTCAGAATTTTCATGACAATCAGATAAAAAGTGGAAAAACAGTAGCATAATAAATTCAAAAGCCGTTCAATGACATAAAAATGTAAGTTAAAATAATTCCCCAAATGGTATTGAGATAGGGGTATGGGAACATACTATTTCTCTTTCCTGCTTTATGCAATTAGTTGATGAAGTCAGCTCTCTTATTTTTTTTTTTTTTTAAGACCAACATTGTTTGTAGTTTTACAACACATACTCAAAATCTGTCTCATGGGTCTGGGTTTACACAGAGTTCATTTAACTTAATGTGTAGCTGATGAACTTCCAGAGACCTTAAGGATACAGAACAGCTAATTTTGATTCCAAAGCATAAGTTTTATTTACTTGATTAGTACACATTGCAGTTTGACAGCTTGAAATTTTGTCCCAGATGGCTCATGGAAGAAAATACTATCCATCTCTCAGACAGGGCAGCCGAGACAGGATATTAACTAGGACTCAAGAGGTGTATGAACAGAATACAAAGAAAGAAAAAGCAGAATCCTGGTGTTATTGGAGAGGTGGGCTCACTCACTCATTGTATGATAGCTAGGACTGTGACAGACAAATATGTTAGAGATCTGCCTACCATCTGTATAGTTTCTGCAATAAGTGCTGTTGCTACTTCTCATCAGCCTATAGTTCTTCATGCGGTAAATATCTGCTAGAAAATAACCTGTCTCAGTTTGCCTTCTCTCTTCCTAATGAGTAGCAGAACAGTCTGTAGATATTAGATAATCCTGATGGTGAGCAATCTAAATCAATCTGGAGATGGGACGTTGTACTGTGTGCAAAACTGATATTTAACTGAATCATAAATTTTTCTATAACTTGTTTACATTTATATCAATGTATTTATGCCTTATAACTGGAGAAAAGCTACAATTATTTTGATATATGTATCAAACTACTTTAATATGCTGTCCTTGTTTGGCATCACTTGTGAAGTATCCTGTGGGCTGATTCCTCCTTTTGAGGTCAGGGTATTGTTGCATTTAAGACTTCAAGAGAAAGGCTGCATGAGTCAAGGCCACCATCATTAACATATTTACTGAAGTGTTGATCATAATAGAAAATTTGTACATATTCTTTCCCTTGCCTTTGGGGAACTAAGAGTCTGGGGGGGTGGTTCATAGTCTACAAATGCTGCAAAGCTTCATTGCTCTTAGCTATGGTCACTACATAAGGTTTCTGGATGTGTCTAGGATAGAAATGAGGCATTACTTGGTGCTGTTTGTACAAACATCTCATGTTGCATTCTTCTATTTGTTCCCCCACAATGTCACGTTCCCATTAGAGAAAGCATTAAATAGCTTCAAACTTTGATTTACTTAAAATTTTTATTTATCTGTTTTATGTATATGGGAGTTTCGCCTTCATGTATGTCTGTGCATGTGCGTGTCTGTTACTCAAGGGCCCCAGAAAAGGATCAGAGCCTCTGGGACTGGAGTTGTGAACTGCCATGTGGGTGCTGGGTACTTCTGCAAGAGCAGCCAGTGCTCTTATCCACTAAGCCATCTCTCCAACTCCACTTTGAAATTTATATTTTAATAGTAAGACCAACTGTATCTGTATTTTTATTTTTGCTGCTTAGCTTGCGACTGGCACTTGCCTTTTATAATAGAAACATTTATTTTCTATTTTCACCAACATATTATTTCTTGCTCCAGGTGTTCCTATGTCCTTCTGATGATCGCCCCTTGACTTCTGACTCCATCAAGGTATTTTAGGTGAGCGTAGACTGTTTATGGCTTAAAGAGCAAGGAAAATGTGTCCAACTTCAAGGTGAGGTGTTATGGAGTGATCAATAGAGGGTTTCAAGATATAGAGGGAGCAGCACAAATTATTTGAGAAAACATATCCACTCTTCTCAACTGAAAGAATGTAAGGTGGGGTTGCTGGAAGGAAATCCCTACTAAGTCAGCTCCAGCCCTTTGGTCCAACTGTGTCCACAGTCTACATTACTCAGGAAGGAAGATATGAAGTCCACAGAAATGTCCTTCAGGGTAGATTACTTGAAGTAATTGATGCATAGCCAAAAGTCCTAACTGATAAACTTTACAATTTCATTTAAGGGAGCAACAGCTTTTCCAGAGATAGTGGTGACTGCTTTTCTGATAGGTATATTGATGTTTTTAATAAAAATAAACTATATTATCCTGACTTTAATTTTATATTTTCAAAAATATTTATTCTAACTTTTTGTCTTACATTTGCTAAAATGTTCTAAGTAGAACTTATTTCATAAAGGTTCTCGAGCTCATCAGATAGGGACGCTCTTTTTTGGCTCATTCAGAGTCTTCACTTTCACCCGCTGCAAGGCTCCTCCTCGAATAGGCAGTTTTTTAAGAGCGATGTCTGTGTCAGCCAGAGGTCCTCCCAGTAACCGAGCAGGAGTGCTTTCCACTGTCACCACCCGACCTGAAGGCACCTGGAGAAGAAGACAAGTATCTGAAAGTCCATTTAGAAACCTTTTTTTGGTAACAGAAAAGCCCACAGAGCCTATGGCTTGCTTTGGAAAAGATACCCAACATAACAGAATTGGTGTGACATATGAGAAAGACAAGGACTTTGGTAACAAGAAAGTGGGTTTGAATTCTTCTAATGCTCATTAGTTTTGTGGTCAGGGACAAACTGTGCCCAACAGAGATCTCAAAGAAAACTGGTATGTGGCACAGGTCTACTTCCAGGGGAAGGAGAACTAACTGTGCTTACCTTGCAAGCAAGACGTAACCAATGCACTGTCTAGTGTGGGGAGAAACTTCTTAGGAAACCTGGGGGGGGGCTGTGTCTGCTCTAACCTAGCACTGAGGGTGTGTGTGTGGGGGGAGTGAGTGTCTTGGAGATATGCCTTAATGATAGAAAATTTAAACAACAAAAAGCAAATATATGAGACAAAAGTTCCCATAGAAATAACATTTTGGCAGCCCAAACTTCATATATATTATGAAAGAGATGTGGGAAAAAAATGATCTTACCGTTGTGTTAAGACCTTTAATAACTGTATGGTGAAATGTTGCATTTTGTGGTCGTTCACTGTATTTAGAGGATTCTATAGCCTTCTCCTGGAGCCTTTTTGCTTTCTGAAGATTTTTAAATTAGAAAGAAAACAGTATTAACTGCTAGTAAAACAGGATAGATGGTCATTAGAGAGAGAAGGTACATTTGCTTTCCTGTTCCTCACACTTCTGCTTATAACAACGGAATCCTTCAATAAGAAGGTTCAGAATGAGGAGCAGGGCACAGCTCTCTCTGGCTTTCTCCTGGCTATCATCTTCATCGTTCAGGAACAAGACTCTGGCTTCCTAGTGTTAAGTCAAATGAAATGTAAAGCAGCATTTTTCAGTTGTGAAATGCTTTCAGTTGTCAGTCTAAGAGGCAGGCAAGGATCTAATGGCAGTAGTATCCTATTTAACATTGTAGAAACGAATATTCAGTCTTCAAAAAAAAAAAACTGTCCTTAAGATTGGCTGATTGTTGTACATACTGGTAATGCTTTAAAAATCCTACCTTTAGTGTTTTAGCGTTTGATGTTCTAGCCAAGAAGTTTTCCCATGATTTGTTAGCCAGTTCTCTTTGCTTATGTGTTGCCTGTATCTGAAACAAATAAGAGAATTGGGACCTTCAGTTTCTAAACACACCAGAAGCCCCCATTTTAAAGGAATTGCCTCCAGTTTGTTGACTAAAATAGAAATTAGGATATATAACATAATTTCAAAAACAATGACTGTGCAAGCCTTTAATCTGAGCATGCTGGAAGCAGAAATAGAAAGAAACCTTTCAGTTCTAGGCTAGCCTGCTCTACAAAGTAAGTTCTAGGACAACCAGAGCTACATAGAAACCCTGCCTCAAAAAGCAAACACAAAAAACAAATCTTAACATGAAAAAGGTTATTCGTTAAAGTCTGAAATACTTTCCACAGAACATAAAGCAAACTGCTGAGAACATTTTTAATAATGAGCATTCTTGGCAAGACTGGGTGCTTTCCATCGTTCCTGTTTGTGAAGACATTAAGTCCAGAGAAAACTCAAGGCAGTATTTAAAAAGAAATTCACAGGTGAAAATAAAGAGATCCTGTTGCCACTGATCATTAGTTTAGCTAATTATATTGGCAAAATTACTTTTAGTCTATGACTGCAATAAGGTATGCAATTTTGTGAGACTGCTAGCTTGGTGTGGTACTGCAGTCTAGAAGGGTAACCACTAACTAACAACTCCTTATTTCTTAATAAGCTCCTCTTTGTATAATCAGAGGATATATGCCATTGGTGTATATTTGTGTATCAGATGAATATACATAATACCATTATAAATACACTAACCTTAGGGCTACTTAAGTGGGGACAGAGGTATGGAAATACATATTTAATCAAAACAGCAAAGGTTCTGTAATTCAAAAGAACTAGTGTTCAAGAGGCAGCATAAATCCATCTTCCCTTCCTGGTTCTGAGCAGATCAACCAGCTTATAGCATTACTTATGCCATGAAAACTTATGCAAGTAAAACTTGAAAGCAATTAGCTGTGGAGTGGCAGTCCAGTGAATGAGCACAGGTCCTAAACTATAGAATCAAACATTCAATAGTCTATGTGGAAAGACAACACTTTGGAGATCATTTCAAGGAGCCACAAGTGTTTAACTGTAGTCATAGAGAATGAAGACCAAGTGTTGACATCCCTGTGTCTATGGGTGACATTGTTTAAATGCCTCTTAGTTGGTCAAACAAACAAACAAACAATATTGCAGTTTCTCATCTGCGCAAAGTTTTAGGGAAAATGTTGTCATTTTCCTGGCTGATTTCTCTGTTCAGCTGACCAGTTTACATAAACATGTATAGAATCAACACTCATAAATGTTTTGGAATCGAGGTAAGGATGAAGCTGATGGACAGATAAGCCTATAGATGGCAAAACATTAAAGGTCTATGAGGTGTGAAAGATAACTTTATCTATGGAGTTATGTATTCCATAAGCCAGCATATGTTAAAAGTATATATTTTATTTTTTATTTTATGTACATTGGTGTTTTGCCTACATTTATGTCTGCTTGAGGATGTTGGATCCCCTGGAACTGCAGTTACAGAAAGCTGTGAGCTGCCATGTGAGTAGTGGGAATTGAACCCAGGTCCCCTGGATGAGTAGCCAGTGCTCTTAACTACTGGGCCACCTCTCCTGCCCCCTTTAATAGTATATATTTAAGCAGGTTACAACTTTTAGAACCCTGTTGGACATGTCAAAGAATTAAGTGTGTCAGGTATCTCTTAACTTTGTAAAATATAAGAGTATAGAAATCAAATTCCAGGGCTGAGGAGATAACTCAGCCAATAAATTGCTTGTTGTGCAAGCGTGCAGACCTGAGTTCACATAAAAAGCCTGGCAAGGTGGCCTATGGCCACGCATAATTCCACTGATGGGGAGGAGGAGATAGGAGGATCTCTGGGATTTTCTGGCTGTCAATTGAGCTAAATCGATGAGCTGTGGGCTCAGAGAGAGAAAGACCTTGTGGAGAGTGATTAAGAAAGATATTGAATGTTCACCTGTGGCTTTCAATTTTTTGTTTGTTTGTTTATTTGAGACAGGGTTTCTCTGTGTAGCTTTGGAGCTTGTCCTGGAACTTGAGCTGTAGACCAGGCTGGCCTCGAACTCATAAAGATCCATCTGCCCCTGCCTCCTGAGGGCTGGGATTAAAGGTGTGGGCCACCAACACCTGGCCTGGCTTCCACATTTATATATAAACCTCCAAGCACATAAATGTGTAAACAAGCATATACTACATATATACACAGAAAAAAGAAAACAAGAAATTAAATTACAATGCAAAAGCAACACTAGAAAGAGTGATTACATTTTAAACTCTTAACTCTATAGTTTCTTTTAAAATTGCACAGACATTGAAAAAATTGGGGAAAGGAAAATAATTCAATGTTGGAATACTCATAAATAAGACAAATCTCTTTTAAGGATAACTTCACCTACTTTATATACTGAATGGAACTCTTGCCTTACCTTTGCATACACTCTTTGTTCGTTTTGCACATCTTGGCGTGCTTGGCTTTCAATCATCTCACTTTGCAGGGTAGCAACCATCTTTCCAATGTTTTCTGTTGCTGCTGTAATAGATTCCAAAGACATTTTATCTGAAGTGACTAGTTTTAACTGTTCCAATTTTATTTCTTCACATATTTCATTCCATACTTCTCCAATCTGTCATGGCAAAGTTTAAGTTGAGAAATTTAAATTGATGAAAGCAAGTGAAACAATTTTACATAATCTTTATGAAGTGGTCATCTTGTTAATGTTTAAGCTTTTCCTAACTTTCTTCTTGGGAATAAGTTAGACCTGCTGAGAATGATGTGGGCACCAGCTACATGAGTATTCTGGTATATAGTTACTTTCATTTCATAGCTGCAGAACCTGCTGTTCAAGCTTGGCTTTCTGAAGTATTTAGTACCTTACTACTGAATCTGAGGAACAAGGGAGCCTGGGTCTTGTGACTTCTAGAACTGAGATCCTATTAACATAACTGACTCTCAAGCTTTTAACTACAGTTTTAACTACAGTTTCATCATGCAAAAGCTCCACTTCATATTCTGAGAGTAAGGTACTAAATTGTATTGGAAACTAGAGAAACTGTCATATCATCTAAAACAGGAATACAACATACTTTTGTTTTCATTTGAAACAAGACTTTTTCATTTACAACAAATAAAATGTACTTCAGAAGATTTCCCTGAGACTTCAAAGACATTTATTTACTCAGTTCATTTAGCAGACAAAAAAGCAACCTAGTCAATGTTAAGTGAGATTTGATTATGGCATAAAGCAATGACAAAGAGTACTTTGGTAAGTAGTAATGCTTTAATAAGTAATAACTTGCTTAGCTCTGGTTCTACTGCTTTCCAAACAGTAAAGATTTCTAAAATCTTGTTAGGCTTCAGAATGACTCTGTAATATTCATCATCTTCTTACAAGCTAACAGCTGGGCTGACCGAGAATTTCATACATGCATATAATGTATCTATCAAGCCCACCTCCATTCCTTTCCTCTTATTTCTCTACTAGCCACAGCCCCAGTAGTCCCTCTCAATTTCATTTAGAACAAACAGCCACTCCATGGAGCACATTTATTACTGTCATTATATGTATGGGTGTAGGACCATCTACTGGAACATATGTAACAGATCCTCCCTCTCGAAGCAGCTGTCTGCTGCCAACAGCTCCTCAGTTAGGGAGGGGTTTTCTGACTTTGGCTCTCTCTTCAGCAGGTTTAGTGCATGCATTCACAACCACTGGTCAGTTTATACAAACAACTACTGTTGTATGTCTATGAGGCATGTGCTCTGTCAGTTGAATAAAATCTTGTCTCATGAAAGAAATCCATATGGTTTGGGTATTATATCATAATCATATAAAAATAGAAAAAATATTAGAGTAATATAAACAATTGTTTCAGTTATAGACACATCCTTTTTTTCCCAATTTATTTTTATATAATAAATTTTAAGTTTTTAAAAGGTACTTACTTTAAAATCAAGGTATCTATGTATTATACAGAGGGTGACAAAATCTTCAGCAGATAGGCCAGGTAAGTTTTCAAAATCTATCAAAGTTTGTTCAGAGAGAATTATTTTAATAGGAGAAAATGGTTTCAAGATTCGTATTTTTACCATAAAAACAAATGCAAAAACACACTTCCACAACAAATCCTCCTGCAGTTTATGATTACACAGTCAAAGTACTCATTCTTTCAGGACCATATCAGAGAGAGTTTACTATCAGAAGCTAAAGGGGAAAGGAGAACTTTTCCCTTAGTAGAAAGCAGACACTTTATAAGCTGAAATAATTCAGAATGCTAATGTTCAAGCCTCAACATCTCACCTCATGATCCTGCTGCACACTGAAAGAGCCTGGGAGGCCAAAAGGAACTGCTCTTTGGGCTCCGCATTCCACAATTTTAACTTTTGAAACATTACTCTCATATATATTACATCCTGGCCACAGTTATAAGTGGTCATGAGGGAGCAGGTATTTATTGTACAAAGGGACTTTATTCATGTGTGTCACATGGACTCTGTAGCAAAAGCAAGTGCGGCAATGCTCATCACACTGAAACTGTGAGTTTCAGGGCTTTCTTACCTAGTTTTCCCAATACAGCATAAATTTTTGCTCTGATATTCTCAGCGACATCCATAACTGCAACAGATGGGCAGTTAGCAGGAAGGGGCATGATCTTTTGCTCTTCTTGAAAACTAGTAAATAGAGGTTTCTTTGTATCTAATTATTGGGTATCACAAAACATAGAAGGAAGAGATTAAAAACTATAGTGAATATTAGATAATTTATTCCATATATAAAATGGATCAAAACATAAGCATACATTTAAAAGTTAAAATAAAATAAAAATAAAATAAAATATATTGTTATTTCTTTTTTAAAGTTCTGGAAATCCATCCCAGGACTAGTAAGCAAGCACTTTATCACTGATATACTTCAGGCCACTTTGAAAGCATAGTCAGTAAATTTTTCCCATTGGGTGGCAAAACTTATGGCTTTCATTTTTCTTATTTATGTAAGGTAAAAAACTATAGCTACTTTGGGAATAAGGGTGCACACTTTTAATCCCAGCATGTGGGAGGCAGTGAATATCTTCAAGTTTGTGGCCAGCCTGGTCTACATACAGTTTCAGGACAATAGGGGCTACACAGAGAGACCCTGTCTCAAACAGGAAAAACCCCACAGCTATAATTTTAATATTTAAAAAGATTTATTTATGTGTGTGTGTCTTGGTGTGTGTATGCCTCATGTATGGGAGGCCATCGGAGGCCAGAGGAGGGAGCTGGTTTTCAGAACCTGGTGGTTCAGGCAGCTGTGAGCCATTTATTGTACCTCGCTACTGGGATTCAAACTCAGATCCTCCAGATGGGTAGCAAGCTCTCTGAACTGCTGAGCCCTCTCTCCAGCCTACATATCCTCTCTAATGATGAAAATCCAATGTAAAAATCTTGTTAAATTTAAAGTTACAGAAATAGGATGACGCCAGATCAATAGTGATACAACAATTTTGATTGGTTTCTATAAATTCTGCCATAAGGAGAAAAGCTGTTTCATGTTGTTTTAGTTTAAAACTCAGATAGTAAAAAGGGATTAGAAACAGAAATCATTTATAGTGGTAGTATTTTTATTTAATAATAAATATTACTAACAGTTTTTTTTGTTTTTTTTTTTTTGTTTTTTTTTTTTTTTTTTAACTAAACATTAAGAGTGTGAAAGGTTCAGAAGATGTAACATGGTGTCAGGTTACAAGTCAATCACACATGGATTCCATCAGCCTCATTAGACTATGCCACTTAAAACTGATGAATATCTGACTAATTTTACTAGAAAGGGATCTCTTTTGTGTAAGAAGGAAAAATACATAAACACCAGTACACAGAATACTGTAAAGACTGTTGCCAAATACTTCACTTATGTATCATTTTATTGCTAAATAAAACATCAAACCTAGTCTGAGGTAAAGAATATAGTTAAATATCATGTTTTAAAATATTCTAGAAAAAATGAACCCCCTACTAACTTACTTAACTTCTAATTACTCATAATTTCTTATTTTATTAATGTGTGTGTGTGTGTGTGTGTGTGTGTGTGAGAGAGAGAGAGAGAGAGAGAGAGAGAGAGAGAGAGAGAGAGAGAGAGAGTGCCAGAGAAACCTGTATTTTGTTCACTTTTTATTTTGTTTGTTTGTTCCTGAGACAGAGCCTGTTCAATAACAGAACCTGGGATACATGGTTCTGCCTGCCTGATTGTGAGCCCTGGGGAGGAGTCTGCATCCCCAGAGCTAGGTCTATCCCTGGCTTTCCTTCCTTCCTTCCTTCCTTCCTTCCTTCCTTCCTTCCTTCCTTCCTTCCTTCCTTTCTTTCTTTCTGTGGTTTTAAGGTAGAATTGTGGTCCTGCAAGCACTTAATCGATAGAACTCCAATTATTCACAATTTATGACAGAAAATCTTCAGTATCTTGTTGGAAGAAGCAGCCCATAAAATGGGATAAGTATCCTCAAAATCCTATATTCTTTAAAACTCTAGAGATACACCTTTAGTTGTTGCTACCAAAAATTATGAACACACTTACCAACAATCATGCCATTTTTATCCCGTTTTACTCCTAGTTCCTTTTCCTCCTTTCTCCACAGTTTAATTAAGAGACTAGCAGCAGTTAAGTCCTTCTTCCCTCGCCAGGCATTGACATGAGCAGAGGTTTTGGGATTATCACAAAATTCAACCATTATTCCAAGTATCAGATTACAGAATTTCTTTTGATTCAACTTTGCAAGGAAATAGAAAATGACAAAAATGGTAATGAATATTAAGAATGCCTGTCTTACCAAGACACACTTCGATTATCAGCCAGTTCCCTCTAAGCTCTTAGATGATGACAATGACCAGATAGTATTCATGAGCATTCTCAAATACTAAAACTTAAAATAATAAAGAGATTTAATATAATTAAGTAGTCATAAATACACTTCATAGTAAAAATACATTCATTTGGTGGAAATAGAAGGAGGAGTTTTCAAAAAAGAAAAGACTATATCTATGAGCATGGTTATCAGGGACAGTTCACTATGAGTACAAGATTGTTCCCATTTATATGCTTTATGAAGGTTTAAAAATAATATTATTAGCTACACTCTCAGTTATCAAGAGAATAACTGATATAACTCTGACAGTCAAATATGAAAAAATTTAAATTGATGTGTAAATTTGTACTCTATCAGTAACTATACAAGAACTTTCAAGAATTAAAGAAAATTTCTCTTATCATCAAGCATACATATTTTTAAACAAAAACACAAAATTTAAATGTAGAAAATCCCATCCAATCCTAACTTTGAAACTTCAGATTTATACATTTAACTTGGACCTACAGAAGCTGGTAAACTAGAAAAGTGCCAGTCTCGAATTATGAGCCTTAAAGGAGGGGGGAGTATGAAACACAGGTGATATGAAGGAGATGGGGAATGCTAGAGAGAGAAAGGAGAAAGAAAAGATGGGGGCAGGGAAAGGGGTGATGAAGGGACAGAAAGGAAAGTTAACCAAAATGACAGGTGTATGAAAAAGCCATATGGAACCCTACTACTCTGTAAGCCAATGAAAACACATTAAGAGGCTGGCTAGATGCTAGTGGTTAAGAACAATGGTTCTTGCAATCAATCAGGTTTGATTCCCATCATCTATAGGGTAACTCACAGACATCCACAGCTCCAGCTCCAGGGGATCTAGTGATCTCTTCAGAGCTCTGTGGGCACTAGGCAAGCACACAAGGCACATATATACATGTAGGCAAAACATTTCATTTACATAAAATAAATCTAAAAAGCCCTAAAACCATGTTTTTAAAAAGTTAGATGGCGATATCTGAATGGCTGGATAATGCAGCTCCTAGAAACCTCTGTTTATTAAACAAGTCCCAGAGCAGGTACAGCACTCTTCATGGCTCGCTGCCCAGTAAGGCCCCAGAGATCCTCAAAACCATACAGACTTATGCTTGCTCACCAGACCCAGATGATAAGATCCTATTGCTTAAGACACCATATAGCTTGGTTGCAAGATGTAGAGAAATCAAACTAGAAGTGAGTTCTAAGTTTCCATCCTGCTGGCTAGCTTTTACAATGCTAGAAGCCCCTCTCAGGCTGTGGGGGAGAAAAGGCATCTGTGGTCTTTCCCAGATATGAAGCCTACAAACTACAACATTAACACACCAAGCAAGATGTTGTACTAGTAGAATACTGGTACAACTTTTATGGGGCAACTAACAATGCTCAGATTGAATTTGAGGCATTTTCCATAGGAGGTACCTGCATTGTACTATAAACACAGCTAGCAATCATGACTGAGAAGACCATATGCCCTAGGGCTAGCTTATTACTGTTGTTTAGCTAAAGTAATATGGTGTCTAACTATATCCTAAACATTGATGTTTATTTCCATACACCAATGCTATTCATTCTTAAATTAAGAATCTTTTCTTTGTAGTCAAAAGTGATCAATACAGATATTCATAGCTGCACAAAGTACTAAGAATAAGTGATAGTTGTGTACTCATCTCTAAACTGGATGTTTATGTCCTTCCCCTCTAAGGCTCAGGAGGCATCAAGGCAAAGGATACAGAGACATTATAAGAAGTGGGACACAGGAAGAAGGGCTGCAAAATACTATCTTCAGAACCCGACACAGCCATTGCAAACATGACCTCACAGTAGCCATGCTTGCCTACACTGGGTCTGTACAAAATTGAGCCTGTCAACAACCAATCATAGAACAGGGATGTGCCCATGGGGCCCTACCCTTCCTACCGTGCTGAGCTACTGGTTACTGATGGATTCTGGGAAGGTCAGTCATTATCTTCAGTTGTGTACCCAATCTTGATTCTCCCGGGCTCCAGTGGATTCAACCTATCTATGGCCATACAGATAGTCCTGATTAAAACCAATGGGTCACAAAACAAAACAAAACAAAAATCTACAAGTATGGGAAAGAGATTTGTAGGGGGAGGGGAGGATGACAGGATAGAAAGGAGGAAAGAGAGGGTGAGGGATGAGAGTCAAGAGGTTGCATTTACATACATGCAAGGAATTGTCAGAGAATAAAACTAATAAACTGTTCCTTGGCAGGTTGACAAGAGTAGCTGGAAAAAATGTCTGCTCATCTATGTTTGGGAACATTAACGTGTATAAACTGATTCCTTAACTGGAGGAATGTTCAGAATCCTTAATATGCTAGTGCTTTGTAATCTCCAAGAAGGGTTTTATTTAAAACAATGTATCTATCTGGCTGTGTGTGGTGGCACATATCTTTAATCCCAGCATTCAGGAGGTAAAGATAGGAAGATCTCTGTGAGTTCAAGGCCAGCCTGATCCACACAGTGAGTTCCAGGACTGCTAGGACTACATAGAGAGAGACCCTGTCTCAAAAACACCAAATTCCAAACAAAGAAACAATATAGCTATCCATGACTGGGGGGGCACATTTATTCACAAAGCACTGTTTTCTTTGTTTGCAAAGACCTATAGTTAACTTTTGTGTTAAGAGTGCTGTGGACATTACTTACTGCCAATATATCCAAAAGGAGAAAAATGCCCTCCTTTTCAAGAAAATAATCTTCAGAAGTATAACATCCCAAAACGCAGCACCTTTAATGAAAAGAAAGCCAGTCATTCCTCAAATCCCTTCTTCCTATCAGCATTGCAAGCCAAGGCTTTTACTTTATTCCTTTAAATCAAGTAGCTACTTTGTTTTTACTTTAAAAATTAAAACTCCGAAGAAGCTTTAAAAGTGTAGTTTAATTTTAACTATTTTTTCAAGTGTGTGTGTGTGTGTGTGTGTAGGCTAGAGGCTAGAGGTTGGTGTCAGGTGCCTTGGAGCTGGAGTTATAGGCAGTTATGGGTCACCTGATGTACAAGCTGGGAAACTAACCTGGGTCCTCTGGGAGAGCAATATGCACTTTTACAATTTCTTTTAAGACTAATACCAATTAATTCTCTATAATTTTCTTTTTTGTGTGTGCAACTTCTTCCTTTACTTTTGTGACAATGGTGATTCTTAAAGCCCCCTAGTTGCTGTAATAACTGCTTCTTCAAGTATAACTGTTCATCATCTCTTTTCATGGTTTGGCACAGCTAAAATATTTGATAATTCATGATCACATTTATCCTTGCAGTTGGCATTTGCTAAAGTGCCTACTATTCAAGTCAATGTGGACTGTATGGAGTGAGGGGCTGGAACTCCTCCAAGGGCTACTTTTACTGTTTTCTTCAGGAGTTTCCTTAGTAGGCTGTCTAAGCTATCACCAACAGTAGGGACGATGGTAGTCATTGGTAACAGACTTTCATCTGTTTCTTCTGAGCATTAATGATAGCTTCCTCTGTCCATTGGTTTTATATTGCTTCCTTTGGAAAACAAGTGAACAGGTTGGCTTGGACAAGTCTGGAGGGATTATGTCAATTACATTATTTGTGGTGAGAAGACCCATTCACTGTGGGTGGCACCATTCCCTGAGCTATCTAAGAGTGGAAAAAACAAGCTGAGCACAAATATGCGTGCATTTATTCTCTGTCTGCTCTTAATTATAGATGTAATGTAACTAGCTGCTTCAAATTTTTGACCCCTTGACGTCTCCCCTTCAGTGATGGGTTGGAACTTGGAATTAGGAACTAAAGTAAACCCTTTCCTTAAGTGGCTTTTGTGCAGGGTATTTTGTCATAATAACTGGAAAGCAAAGTTAGATGTTTAGCTTTATTTTTTTTTTCAGCTTAGGACTTTTCAACTTTTATAACTGAGTCAATTCCTATAATAAATATTCTTCTCTATTAATTTTATTTCTCTGGACACTCTGACAACTTCAATGCATCCAAGTTATAAACAAAAGCTAAGTAGAACAAAGAACAAGGAGAAGTAATTGTGTCAAATGTCCAGATATATTTAAAAGGCATAATGATTTAAACAACACAAAATTACAGGAAGGCTAGAAGAATGTCAGTGGAGCAGAGCAGAATGCCTAAGAGAGCCAAGACAACATCAGCATCGCACTGCATAAGAAGGAGATGCTTATGTTTTCCTAGATGACACTAGGTATGGAATTAGATGACAACAAGCAAATTTTGAAACAAGTGGCCTTTCTACTTGAGTGAGGGGCTTAGTTACTTTTCAAACTCATGCTTAGGTCATCTAAACAGAGAAGGCACCAACTGATCCATCTAGTGTGATTTTAAGGGGAGAAAGCTGGTAGCTGTAAATGTAACTTTCTTGTGCTGGGGTATTGTTCACTTGGTCATAGTAATACTCACCAAATGCTGTCTAAGGTACTGAAAAGAAGAACATTGTAGCCTAAGCCACTCTGTAACTTCTTGGGGTCTGTTTTCATTACATGAAGAATTATGTCAACTCCTTCAGTTCCAAACATTTCCTGTTGAAGAGAGTTGTCTACATCATTTCTTGGAATAGGTACATAATTGTTCTCTTCTCTACCTTATCCTATCTCTTAAGGTTTTTTTTTCTACCAGAAAATAATGCTAGCAATGGTTTGATTGCTTACAAGCTAGGTTTGCTAGTTTCTAAATGAGGAATTTTAATACAATTAAAAATTGCACTCATTTGGAGTTGGAGGGGTGACTCAGCTTTTTAGAGCACTTGTTGCTCTTCCAGAGGGTATGGGTTCAAGCTCACAGTCACCCGCAACTCCGGTATTTGAGAATCTGAAATCTTCATCTGACATCCGAGGGCACCAGACATATGTGTGGTAACTGTACATGCACAGAGGCAAAACACTCATACACATAAAATAAGTAAACCTAAAAAGTAGTTTGTTTGTTTTTAATTGTACTCATTCATTCCTAGTTATTCATGGTAAATTATTATAATGCCAGCTACTTTAAGAAGGTTTCAAACAAGGTGTAGGTTAATAGTAATTTTTCTTAGTAATAAGGAATTTTTTTTCTTCCACATTAGAGTGAACACAATCTGGCATCACACCAAAAGCAGAGCAGCATCAGTGTGCATCATGGAAGATGCTACAGATGAATTCTTGTTTTGAAGTTCTAGTTTTAGATATAAAAACATTTCAAACTCCAAGTGATATTATTGACACTACAACCTAGGATAGAAAACTTTTTGGCTACTTTAGATCTTGTAATTCTACTCCGAGGTTTTGACTCAGAAGAAATGAAACCATTACATCCCCCAAAAGTCAGGGGTCAAGAATATTCCCTGATGCTTTATCATCAACTCATCCAAATAGAAACAGTATAAGTGCCTATTAATAAGATAATAGGTATACAGATGCTGATAGTTCATAGAATACTATTGAGCAAAAAAAGGAATGATACATGCAACAATATGAAAGTATTTCAGAAATACCTATTTCTTTTTGGATAACAAAAAACACACACAGAAGAGCAAACACTGTGATTTCACTCATATAAAGAACTGGCAAAACTAATCTATAGGTAAATAGAGGCACAATAGTCAATGTGATACCTATATGAGATTGTGTAGAGAGATGCATATTACATGTTCCAATTTGAATATGGGTAAAATACATTATATACATTTACCAAACCTATGAAATATATATTCAAGCTCTGTATTTCACTGCATGTAGTTATGTCTTCATTAAAGTTTTAAAATTTGGTTAGTTTTTTTTTTCATTACATATGTGTGTGGGCAGGTGTGTGTCATGATGCATCTTTAGGAGTCAAAGATGATTTTTTCCTTCTGTCATATGTTTTGCAGAAACCAGATTTGTTTGTCAGGCTTAGCAGCAATGTGGTTAACTGCTGAGCCAACTTAGCAGCCCACATTTTACAGGATCAGCAAAGAGGGCAACTTTCATGGACACCTAATAGAACGTGTACCATTAGGAGACTGGGAGACCTGCAGTGCAGACTTGCAGGTATCACACACCTTCCTCTGAATATAATGTTCACAGAGCCCAGACAGGATGAGCAAGGCATCAGACTGGATCTCCAAGGCAATGGCCTCTTCCTTTTCATCGGGTTTGCTTGCCATATTTTTAAAGATTCCTAGCATGGGAAAAAATAAAGAGTGTAGTTACTTGATGCATATTTGATTGATTACTGTTAGGAAACTCCCCATTAAGAAGAATCTTCAGCTAGAGAAAGTATTTTATTATAGAAGGGGCTGTTTTCAATGCATAGTAACCTAGAAGCTGTGGACAGAGTGTGGAAAATGAATTTCATAAGCACTTAAGTCAGCTGTCTCACGAAGAATTTCAAAGTATATACATATACAATGCATAGATATAGAACATCTTAATATAATTATCAGTGTTATGCATGCAGAAATGTTAGTATAGAATTAGTGGAATGTCACTAAATGATGACCTGACAACTTCATATTTTGACAAATTTTGTTTAAAAACATGTAGTTTTGAGCAACACACACCTCCCCATGCCATAAAGTTGCAGCAGATGGAGCTCAACCAAACACAGTTGGGGAGGGGAATCCTAGCCCCGACTTGCAAGAGGACTCCAACAACATCTCTGCACCAACCAGAAGCGCCAGGCAGTTGGGCACTATTATGGTATCTTTACGCTGAGGAAGAATGGGCTTGCACAGTTCCATTACAGACTGAGAGACAAGGAGGCCCACATGCAGGTCTGCAGTGATCTACCCTGCAGGGGTAGAAGAGAAGGCAGGGGCCCACGTGGCATTTGGTGTTGCTGGGCAAAAGGGCACTATTATGGTGAGCAAACGCATGCTGTGGTATGGGAAAGAGAGACAGAATGGTTCACGTCCCGTGGACAGAGACATATCTGAAGATGAGAAAGAGGCAAGGAGCAGGCTGAGGTGAGTGGCTTGATTGCCCTGCAGGACCATGGTGATATCTGGGCCTGGGCTGCTGCTGGGGCCCATGTCTGGTTTCATAGTCCTGATGCAGCTGCTGTTTCTGTTGATGTCCGTGGCTCCTGATACCACCAAAGGCCAAGACTGTAGAACCGTACAGTTGGCCCCTCCCCTCACTGGCTATAACACTAGGCAGAACTGGTACTGCCCCTCACTAGCTGAAGCCCTCAGGAGAGAGAGCCCTACACCTCACCTGGACAACACAACAGAGCTGATCATGTTCACAGAGGCATGGGCGAGGTGGCTCTGACAGCTTGAGAATAGGAGGGCAGGTCACATCCCTCTCATCTGCTATGTGGTGGCTTGGGTGAGGAAAAGATGTCCTCCTCCTTGCCCTCAGCAGCAGGTGGAGGACATGACTCCACCCCTCACCAGCTGTAGCACTCAGGAGAGTGGGCCCTGTGCCTCACCTAAGCAGCACAGTAGAGTTGGCCCTGTAGAGAAGGGTGTAGCATGCACCACCACCATCTGGCCAGGATGGGGAAATAAATGGGATTGAGATGTATGAAGTGAAAGACACAAAGGAAAATAAAAAGAAAGTTTAAAAAAACATGTACTAGGCAGGGATATATACTTCTGCAAATTCATTATCAAAATATTAACTGCAGCTGGGCAGTGGTGGTGCACACCTTTAATCCCAGCACTTAGGAGGCAGAGGCAGGTGGATCTCTGTGAGTTTGAGGCCAGCCTGGTCTACAGAGTGAGTTACAAGACTACACAGAAAAACCCTGTCTTGGGTGGGGGGGGGATGTCTGACTGTAGGTTGTTCTATCTATCTATCTTTCACTTTCTTGGCAGTTAACCAGTAACAAATTTGGGGGGCCTCTCTGTGTGTTCTATCTGCTGTTTCTTTATATATCTTCTACATGAAGAGAACAACTCCACAGATTTAGGCTGCCAGATTTAAAAGTCCTTCCCTTGTAATCAAGCCTGAAAATGACTCAGCAGTCATTATCACAATAAAAACTGTCTCAGAAGGCACTTCCTTTAGGCTTTAAGAATTTAGAAATGCTGTTTATGCTGGAGAGGATATGGAGAAAGGGGAACACTCCTCCACTGCTGAGTGCAAATTCATACAGCCACTTTAGAAATCAGTATGGTGGTTCCTCAGGAAAATGGGAATCAGTTTACCTCAAGATCCAGCAATTTCACTCTTAGGCATATACCCAAAAGATGCACATTCAAACAACAAGGAAATATGTTCAACTATGTTCATAGCAGAATTATTTGTAATAGCCAGAAACTGGAAGCAACCTAAATGCCCCTCAACTAAATAATGGATAAAGAAAATGTGGTATATTTACACAATGGAGTACTACTCATCAGGAAAAAAAAAAAAAAAAAAAAAAAAAAAAAAAAAAAACAATGGAATCTTGAAATTTGCAGGCAAATGGATGGAACTAGAGGAAACCATCCTGAATGAGGTAACCCAGTCACAAAAAGACAAACATGGTATGTACTCACTCATATATGGATTTTAGACATAAAGCAAAGGATCACCAGTCTACAATCCATACCGACAGAAAAGCTAGGAAACAAAGGAGGACCCAAAGAGAGATATACAAGGTTCCCTGGAGAAGGAAATGGACAAGATCTCCCAAGCAAATTGGGAGCATGGAGAGAGGGGAGAGGGAGATAGGAGAAAGAGAAGGGGAGAAGAGGAGGGGAGAGGGAGAGGAGGGCATGAGGGAGCTTGAGTTAAGGGAAGAATAGAGGAGAAAAAAGAGAGAGAGAGATACTATAATAGAGAAATCTGGCAATAGGGAAATGCCCAGAGATCTGCAAGGATGATCCAAACTAACAATCTAAGCAATAGTGGAGAGGATACCTTAATTGCCCTTCCCCTATAATGAGATTGATGACTACCTTATATGCCATCCTAGAGCCTTCATCTAGTAGCTGATGGAAACAGAAGCAGACACCCACAGCTAAACACTGAACCAAACTCCTGGAATTCAGTTGCAGAGAGGGAGGAGTAATGAGCAAAGGGGTCAAGACCAGGCTGGAGAAACCCACAGAAACACTGACTTGAACAAAGGGGAGCTCATGGACCCCAGTCTGATAGCTGGGAAACCAGCATAAAACTGATGTGGGTGTTAGTTAGGAGGGCTGGGAAGTCTATGGGGCCTTTGGTAGTGGATCAGTATTTATCTCTAGTATACAAATGGACTTTGGGAGCCCATTCCACTTAGAGGGATACTCTCTCAGCCTAGACACATGATGAAGGGTCTAGGCCCTGCTCCAAATGATATGACAGACTTTGAAGACTTCCCATGGAAGGCCTCACCCTCTCTGGGGAGCAGAAAGGAGACAGGATGGGGGTTGGGAGGGGAACAGGTAAGGAGGGGAAGGTGAGGAAACTGGGATTGACATGTAAAAAGCAGGACACTACAGAGCTATTGTTCTCAAAGAAGCCAAGAGCCTAACCCTATGGAACAATCCTTTTAGGATGAAGGGTGAAAGATGAGACCCCAGAGCAGGCTGAACCTGCTAGATAAAGAGTTGGTGCAGGGGTACCCAATGCTCAGAGGGGTCTGTAGTGTGGTGTCACCCTATGCTCAGAGGGGTCCACAGTGTGGCAATACCCCATTCTCAGAGGGGTGTGTAAGGTGGGGGTCACCCCATGCTCAGAGGGGTCTGTGCTCCTTTACCAGGGCTACCTACAGAAACCATGTGATTGCTGGCTGAAGTTCTCTTTTCTGGATGACTTCATTTTAATTCCTTATTTGGGTTGGAATTTATGGGCCTGTTGTGTTATGGGTATGTTAATAAAGAATGATTTTCCTCAGTTTCAGGTACTTGAACTTTCTGCCTTTATCTTCTCCACTCCATTCTTTCTAACACGTAGCATTAGGGCCAGGGAGATGATGGTCCTGTGTATAAAAATGCTAAGATGTACAGGCCTGGTAACTTGTGTTTGATCCTGGAAACCTATGCAAAGTGGTAGAAGGAGAGAGGAGACTCCACACAATGTCCTATGTCCTCACATTGCATTGTAGCACATTCAGTCACATGCACACTCACACACACATGCATGCACATGTGCACACACACACACACACATACCATGCATACATACATACACACAGAATTCAATTATATTAAAACTAAAAAGCCCATAGTACTACACATACAATTTCACTAAACAGAACCCCTCTATTCAAGCTGCTCTTTGCACTCAAAGTTTTTTCCCAGCTTGCTCGGCGCTTATCCAGTTGGCTCTCTCATCAGATTTGTCTTGATTAAAGTTGGCTCTCCTATGCCCTCTCTGAGCACACTGCCCTGCATATTTCAATACTGGACCTCTGCTCATGATAGTCTTTGCTTTACAGAATAACCTTTATCAACCTTTTCCTTTATTTGAGACTATCGTCCAGTGAAGCTCCAGTTAAGACCCCCCAAGTTTGAAAAATAACTAAACCTCTTTAGCTTTCGGGATATTTACTTTTTTTTTTTTTTTTTTTGCTACTCATTAGGTGCCTAGATGAGGGTATAGCATAAGACATGCTATTTTCTTTTGGTCCCATCAGGCCAAGGTTCCCCAGCATTCTGTCTGTTTCTAACCTCTCTGTCTACGGAGAAAGCATATTTACACAGACACTGTGTTTGCACAGCACTTTCTATATATTTGAGGGTGAAACGTCTACAAAGCCCTCCGAGGTTAAAAAAGACTGTAACAGACATCATCCTTGGATGGAGGGGAAATGTCCTGACACTCTTGTTGTCTGCTATGCTTCCTCCTAACACATTCCCTTAGCTCAGGCAGGATTCAGATCTTTCCCTGGGTATACAATGATTGTACTTCCAGCTAAAATGGGGCATTTGGACTGAATTCTATGCAGTGAGCTGCACAGTTGTGATTAAAATGTACTTTCACATTGCGTCATCTTAAGCCCATCTGGAATAAAGATAAATGTTTTTACATAACTCTGCTTTCTAGTTATTGGTTTTTAAATTGGGCATGGGTTTAAAGCATATCTCAATTAGTTGACATCTAGCAGTTTCAATTTAACTCTTGAATGTCCCTCAAAGGCCCAGGGGTTAGGGAGTGGTGTAAGGTTTAGGAGGTTGGGCCTACTGGAAGAGAGGATGATGGGATCCTGTTTCTCTTTCACTTCCAGACCAGCAAGACACAATGCTTTACCACAGGCTCCCAAACATTAAGCCAAATTAGCATAAATGGAGCCAAATCAGCAACTGTGAGGCAGATGGTTCCTTTAGGTGTCCTCCACAGGGACCGACAGCTAACATGAGCTGAGTATAGATGTTCCCCAGACAACTCAAGCCAGGGACACGTACTTCCCTAAAACAAACTTAGTGCAGTATCTGCACATGGCACTGTACATTCATGTAGATATTAAATCACCTCTGGATCACTTATAAGTGATCCTAATACAGTGGAAATGCTAATATTTGCTATAAGCTGCTATTTAGTGGGTAATGACAAGAGAAGTCTTTCTGTGCTCACACACACTTTCTTTTTTCTTTTCTGTAGTTTTGGCATGGCATTTATATGGAGCCTGAGACAGCAATTTTTAAAATGAGGAAAGGGGAGGGCTGAGGACTATGTGTTTTTAAATAATAAAGGGCATGACAGCTTGAATAGGAAGCTGATATTCATGAATTCTCTAGTATTTACGGTAGAAAAGATACTCCTAGATGCTGGTCTCTGTGCGCCAGTGTTTCCATATTCTGAATGGACTGGAAAACATGACTTCACCTTCTTTAAAATGTCTCTCCAATGCTTGCCGAGAAGTGGCAATCTCATTACCAGAAAAATGAAATGTAGCAACAGTTTGTTTAAATTGAAAAAGATATAGGAGATAAATGTTTACAGGATTCATGATGATGATATTTCAGTAAAAAGAAAACTGACTGACATCAACAAGATGAAACAAAACAAGGAAAACTTCCAGGATATGCTCATTCACATAATGGATCTGTAGGAAAATATTTCATATGAAATATCTAGAATTATAAATACCCCACTTTCCCCAGTGAGCTGCCATGTAATATTTTACCTATTAGTTGATGAATAACCCCCCTTTCACAGAGATCCGTGTTCACAGTCTCATCTTCAAGATAAACCATGGCTCTGAGGAGTCGTAAAGTATATCGCATCTGTGCAAACTTGTTTCCACGGCCGCCTGTCCCGTGAAAACTGTTACCATGAATAAAGAAGGAATCTGTGTGGAAAAGTAATAATTGAATTTGTAACTAAGGAACTTAAAGCATAAAACATTTGAAACAAATGCTTTCATTTAAAAACAATATATCAGATACTTTAAATATCTATACATTTAAACAGATGTTAAAATCCAGTCATATTTGCTTATTTTGTTCTTACAGAAATATTATCCCTTCACTTTCTCTTTCTAGTCTCAGAATGGAAAGACACCTTTTCAAATTGCACTCAGAGGCATCATTGTTTGTGTCTTTTACAGCATTCTTCCTTATCAAATTTTTGTGTTCATGAGTACATTTACTTTCTTTTTTGAGAATTCAATAAATAACATTTATAATTGAGGCTCTTCTCTTTGATAAACTATATCTTGAAGTTAGTGCTTCTGACTAGAAATCTAGATTTTAAATTTTTTATGAGGCTATTGATGGGTTTGTGTGTATTTTAAGTCTACATGCATTTTTAGCAGCTGAAGTAGCACCTGGTACTTTGTAGACACTCAATAAATGTTTGTGGAGTGAATATATTAAACTGTTGTCCAGATATTTTCATTCCTTCCTAAGTAAAATTTTATAGGCTGCCTAATACAATAATTTAAATAAAATCATATATATGATTACTTTTAATGTTCATTAGTTATATTTAAGGTCTTTGTTAATATCTGACTTTGAAATTTCAATTTTTATCAAAAGGTTGTTTTATCTTTAATTATGTGTAAGAGTGTGTGTCTCTGTGGGGACATTTGCACATGAATGCAGGTGCCTGTAGAGGCTACTGAATCTCTTGGAGCTGGAGTTGGGGGCATTTGTGATCTCTCTGACATTGGCGCTTGGAGCTAAACTCAGGTGTTCTACAAGAACACTATGTGTTATTAACTGCCAAGTCAGTTCTCTAGCTCTAATATCTCAATATTTATGGAGACATATAAACACACTAAAAGATTTAACCATTGCTTTTTTATGCAAATACCGAGAGTTCAGCTGAAATACAGACCAGCATCATAACAGGGCCCTGTTGCACTCACCCTCGTGCACACACCATTCTAGAAAGGCAAGGATTCGAGCATTGCCCTGGCATGACATATACTCTTCTATTAACAAAGGAGCCACTGAGGACAAGGTGGCAATTGCATGCAGTTGTAGTTCTTCATACTGTGCTGCAGACCACTCAATAATTTTGAGTCTTTCTGGCTTTTTGACATAGGTAAACAAAGCCAAGATAACTTTGCCATCGATTAATAGCTATAAGAAAGGACAAAATGTACTTTGTTAGCAGCACAATTAAAATATCTTTATTTAATCTAACAAAATTAGCTCAAAGACTTCAAATGTGATGTTTTAGTGATAACTTCAAAGCATTTTCTTCCTATCCATGACAGTACCCCAAACACATGGAAATGGAAAAGGCAATAACTGCTATCATCAATAGCAGTCTGGTGTCAATAAGAAAAACGATCCCCTTTTATGGGTACAAGCTCCTTAGAAAACAATAACAGAAAATACACATGAGTTAATTTTTGATGAGGTGCATGTATTTGTTTCTACATATAATAAAATCATAGAGGTAGGAAAATAAATGGGTGGCATTTCTTTCCTCCTCCTCCTCTCTCTCTCTCTCTTTCTCTCTCTTTTGTTATAGGGTCGTGCACATACTTGTCAAACAGCCTGCTGCTAAGCTGCACCTCTGCCCCCCAAAAAGAGCCCGAAGGCAATACTAGGGCTATCCAAACTGCTATGTACAAATAATAGAATTCATACAATATATCAACGACTGTCAGACCACAAGCTGTATTTAATTAGACACTTCAAGATTTTTATAACTTTATTGAACCTAGCATTTCAATAAAAATAAAAAAAGGAATTATTATAAAGTGACCAATGTCACAGCTGACACTGATTGAAGCATATTCAGTGCATAAAGTGGAAACCACTGTCCTGTTTGGTACTGTCTTCCTACATGCTTAGCATTAATTACTCAATAAAGAGGGTTTCCTAACAATTATGAGTTGTTTTTTTGTTTGTTTGTTTTTTAACTTCTCCGCTGAATTCATTAGTGTATCACTTCATGGTATACATTCAAAGGGATCAAGATTTGGAGTTGAATAAACATGAACAAGAGTATTAGTTCTAGCATCATGTGAAACTCCAGTGGACAAGATTTGAAATGCTCCATGAACTGTGGTAGTGCATATATTGATTATTCTTACTATTGTTGGACCAAAAATTAACTCCACTGTTGTTCACAATGTATTTTTAAAAATCTTATGACAACCTTTAGCTATTTGGCTCTGTTGTCTAAATGACAACAACCGTTATAATAATAAAGTCTCATAATAATCCCCAAGGTAGGTGCTACCCTCTGCTGAAGCTGAACTATCTGGGATTTAGAGAAACTAATTATTCCACTCAAAAACACACTCCTAAAAAGTGATCACAATGGGACTGCACCCAAGTAAAGCTTACTCACCACCAACCCCACTTTTATCACTTTTATATCAGTAGTCCTTATCTTCATAGAATGAACACTCACTTCTTTTCATGAAAAGAGCTCCAAAGGGTTTCAGATTAGAAGGAAATTTCACTTAATGCATGCAGCAAAGAGCTAAACTCACACAACAGTTAGTAGTACATCTTTCCAACGCTTTATGATTGGCAAAGGTCTCACCTTAAGCTCTTGAGAGCTCTGTGTGCAAGTGTGTTCAGCTTTATAAAGGAGGAACCAAGCCTCAGGTGGGAAACCGGACTTGGCCAAGGCCATTAAAAAAGGTGACAAGCAGAAGTGGTACTTAATCCCAGTGTTCCTCAAATTACATCACATGTGAAATAATGAACACAGCAGGATAAATGAGTTAGTAAAAATTAAAGATGCTAGGCTTGTGAGGAGAAAACATGGGTTCATAAGGGTCTGATAGAGGTCAGCAATTACCTTCAACATTAATCATCCCTTAGCTTGACAGTCAGAGGAAAGCAATTGGCTGATGCAGGGACATTGTTTGTGATTTAGTGGTGAAGGGCTTTCCTTGCATGAGCAACTGAAAAATAGACAGGATGGTTGGGATGTGTGAACTACTTTTGTTTTATGTTCTCTGTTAGGAGATCTGTATCTCCTACCATCATTTTAGTGGGTGTGTGTGGTTCAAAGTTATGTCCTTTGTGTTTATTGTTGCAAAGGGCATTTAAATGGCTACAATTTAAGCTGGTAACTTTACTAGTTTCAATCCTATAGACATGGGTTGATTAATGAAAGAGTTGCAATGATGACTATGCTTTAAAGTGAGATGCTTTTATTAATTTTTCTGTTTTCATTAGTCTTTACCTGTACAGTAGTTAAATCTTTACATAAGATCACAATTATATTGAATAGCAATTTCTTCAACTCAAAATCTTCATAGGAATTAGAAAGCTTAAGACTTTTTACCAAAGGATTTTGACTTTTAACTGTGAGAAGAAAAAAAAGAGAGTGAAATGAAAGCTAAAATTATGTAAAACTCATTGAGACACTCACAAAATGGTTAATGTGGTACAAGTTTTACCTTCATTAAAAGTTGCAAACAGTATCAAATCCCTGGTAAAGCCACATTCCTATTAGAAACACACAAAATAAGCAGAAAGGTGAATAATTAGAGTGGCAATTAAGCTAAAAGTGTCCATATTTGCCTGCCATTGAATTGCTGCTATCCAATTTCCTTACTGTAACTCATTTGAATTTATAATACTTGTATTAATGAATAAAGGTGAGACAGCAACACCATATGGCTAGGCAACTCAAATTTAATCTATGAATACCTGATGTGATATTTGAAAGTGAGTGAGAAGTTCTTACACTACTGTATTTCACTTTCTATACCTTTAAATGATACCATAGGGAGGAAATCTAATTCTTTTCAACAGCTATTCTTTTCTGATCCTGCCTTTATCCCAGTCCCTCTCATTACATCAAAGGACAGCCAGGAGAGAGCAAAACAGTACTACTTAACATAAAAGCCTGAGGAATTACCAGAGCTGCAAATACCTTAGCAAAGGGAACTCACTCCTGACAAAGACATGTGATTGGAGTTTGTATAGTAAGGAAAGTTTATAGGGTGAAATAATACCAGGCTTTGCAATTGCAGAATTTCTGCTTCTTCAAGATTCACATGGCTTCTTTAAAAATCTAAGAATGTTATTACTTTAATTTATGTTCATAGAGTTATTGGAATATTACAATGATGTAATTGAGAACTCACTGATTGGCCACGACCTGTCAGACAGACATAAAGGTCTACCTACATATGGTAGACTTAATTAGGTACTCTGTAGGAGTATTTATACATTTTTGCAGTATAAATTCCATGACTTCTTAATATTGGACCACTTGATGTATACTGAAAGGTATTGGGACCTTTGTACTTAGTTCTTTGAAACCCAATATAGAAAGTAATACGGCTGGCATGTGAATACTGTTGAAAAATCTATTTTAAGATACCAATCATTCAATGTTTTGTTCTCTAGTATGGGGAGGGGCTAGAAAGATGGCTGAGGAGTTAAGAGTGTGTACTGTTCTTACAACCTTATCAGTTTCCAAAACCTGCTTTAGGTGGCTGCCAAGCACCTGTTACTCCAACTCCAGGTGTTCCAACACTCTCTTCTGCCTCTGTGGGCATCTACACTCACAGAGACAAACCCACACTCAGACAGACACACATACACACAATTACAAATGTTAAAATAAATATCTTTAAATATAAGGATTGCTTCTGATATGGCTGGGCAATTATGATAAAAGAAGACTTCTTTGAGCAAAATATAAAAGGCAGCAATCTTGTGGCCAAAAGCAAGTAGACATTGGAAGAAAGTTGGAACTTTGATAAAGTCTAAAGAAAAATTCACTGCGTAAATTCTTATACCAACTTCTTTTAAAACTAGGTTTTAGGCTAGTAGCAATCCCTATTCTACACCTTGTGGGGATGTTAAACTCAACGGTAAAGCTGTAGTCTAAGTGGCCCAATGAATCAGAGGACTGAGGCAACCACAGCCACTAGAATGAAAGGTTCAGTCTCATAAAGGAGAAAGCCAGAAGGTGAACTCAAATATGCATACAAATGCTTCCCCAGTCTCTGAGGACTGCCTGATCTGTCCAAATACCGATAATTCTACACATCATAGCTATGGCTAGAAGAACCAAACTGGAATTTGGTGGATCCCAGTACTTGGATGGATGTAGACAAGCCCAATGTCTATGAATAACAAACCTGAAAAAACACTCCTCAGAGGCCTATATTAGAATCCATAGTAAAGATACTCATAATGAATGGGAATTCAGGAACTCTGCATGAAAGTAGAAAGTGCAAAAGGAATCTAAGGGGGCTAGGGTATAGCTCAGTGGTACAAACCTTGCCTACCATGAAGAAAGCCCTGGTTTCATCTCCAGAACTGAGAGAGAGAGAGAGAGAGAGAGAGAGAGAGAGAGAGAGAGAGAGAGAGAGAGAGATAGATTCCAGTATCTGAAACAAAAGCACTCTAAAAAGGGATGAACAGTACAAAGGATGTGATAGAGAAAGTCAGTTAATTTAAATACATAGCCCGATACAATCATCCAATCTGAGGACTAGAGAGAAACAAGATTGAAAATAGTTACCAGAATCCTATAACCACATGGACAATGTAAAAAACAATCAAATGTACAAGTAATTGGAATGCCAGAACAAGAGGGGGAGAGAGAATAAACTAAAAACTAATGATGAAAATAATGACCCCAATTTGTTTAAATTTGGTGAAAAAAATTATATATCTAGGAAACTCTATATATAAAGGATAAATACAGAAGGGATCAACCTTGGCCCACTGTACCAAAACTGCTGATCACCAATGATAGAGAGGGAAATCTTGAAGACAAAATTTAAAGAACTCTTTTCATATCAGGAAGCAAGAATTTGAAATAACAAGTACTTACGAGGAACAGCGGTGAGCAGAAGACAGAAGAACATTACTTTTCAAGTGCTAATAGAGAAAGTTTCGCCTAGGAGTCTATATTCAATGAACGTACAATTCAAGAATTACAGATATTTTTATATAAAAGAGGCTTATTGAGAGCAGGTAGCACATTTGTACCATATGAAATGATAAACAAAATTCTTTTATGGAAAAGAAAATGGAAGCTGGCTGTTGGGGTGGTGCTTGCCTTTAATCCCAGTACATGGGAGGTAGAGGCAGGCAGATCTCTGTGAGTTTGAGGCCAGCCTGTTCTACAAAGCTACACAGAGAAACCCTGTCTTGGAAAAAAAAAAAAAGTAAAATAAAGAAAGCAAAGGAAATGTGCTAGATGGACAGAAAAAAAAAAAAAAAAAAGAACATCAGAGATAATGAATCTATAAGTGGTGAAATAAGATAGGTTCTCAGACTTGCACAGGTATGCAACAGAATGGCAGAGCAGAAGGGCAATGGTGACTATCCTCACACTAAAATGTAAGTTAGAGCTGCAATAAAACACATAAACACTAAAACATGATTTACAATATCCTACCACTTTCACCATTAAAATCAATGCAATCCAATGCATACTTACAATCATTGGTGCTCCAGGGTTCTGAGCTATAATTGTGGTGATAACTAATATATCATTTCTAAGCTGGCGTTCATAATGACTTTGGCCCCTCATAAACAGATTTTTAAATACTTCCTTCAAAGCCCTAGAAAACAAAATATTAGAAATGATACTGTTATAGGCAAAATGTTTGTGCCTCTCCAGAGGTCATTTGTTGAAATGCTCCCTTGAATGAAGCTTGGGGAAGGCGGGCTTAGGGGAAGGGTTCAGACCAATCAGGCAGGGTCATCATAAAGGAATCACTGTCCTTACATTAGGAACTGCAGAGCTGTTCAGGGATGAGCTGTCAGAGTCCTGCTATCTGGAAGAGCACCTTTACCAGAACCCTACCATGCTGGCACCCTGGGTTGATTTCTAGCCTCGAACACTGTGAGAAAAGTTTACTGTTGTTTATAAACTACAGCTCTCTGATACTCTGTCAAGGAATGCTCAACCAAGATACATTTCTAAAAATACATCTCTATCAACAAAATCTACTCTTAATTTTAAACTTTTGACTGAAGTGTTTCTCATCTTTTCATCCTTCCCAACCTGCTTCTTTCTGTTTTACCACAATGCACCAGATGAGAACCCACTAATCTAATTACCCACAGTTGTGGATGTGATTGTGTCACAAGACATGTTAAAGCCACTCCCAGCTGCTCTGTATTCTTAGGATACAGTCTTCTGGTAGGCAGCTTCCCAAGGCTCTGATGTTATGGTTCTCGCTCTCTGTAGCTTCAGATCTTAACATCCTGCCTCACTCTTCTGCTCTCCTCATGCTAAACTTCTTTCAGGTTTTTTATTTTTTTCTGAATCTTTTCCTGTGGGATACTCTCTGCAAAAGAATGTCCTGTGTGATTGATTCCTAATCGCTGAGATACTGCTGAGGTTAATGAGCTAGAGGAAGCATAAACCATCTCAACGCTAGGTCAGGTTCCTTTTGTAGTGGACAGTCATTGTTTTTGCCTCTTGGGGTCCATTTGTTGTAGGCATTTGCTCTCCCTGGCTTGTGGTTCTAAAGCAGTGATTCTCAATCTTTTTAATTCTGTGAACCTTTAATATAGTTTCTCATGTTGTGGTGACCCCTGACCATATCATATATGACCCCTGTGAAAGGGGTTGTGTACCACAGGTTGAGAACTACTGTTCTACCAGGATGAAGCCAAAAGTGTGAAGACAGCACCCATAGACAGAGAGGCACTATGTCCTCACATTTTCTGCAATCTCAACAAAGAGCTTGTGAAGTCAGCTTTTTCTTTGTCTTTTTTAGTTGCATCATCAGTCAGTGTTCTAGTTTCTTTTCAGCTGCTGTGATAAAGCACTGACCAAAAGCAACTCAGAGGAGGGAATGATTTCTTTGGCTTACGCTTCCAGATCACAGTTCATCACTGAGGGGAGGTCAAGGCAAGAACTGAAGTAGAAACCATGTTCCCCCACAGTTCCTACGAGCTCACCCATAGGCTCGTGCTTACCTAGCTGTCTTGTAGAGTCTAGAACCACTGTCAAGGCAATGGTGCTACCCACAGTGGGCGGGCCATCTTAGTGCAGTTACAATAATGACAGTCCCCCACAGACATACAGGCCAATCTGATCTAACTAAGCCTTCAGTATCGACTCCCTTCTCAGTAGTTACAGACTGTGCCAAGTTAACAGTTAAAGCTAACTAGGGCAGTAGGGTTGGAACTTGGAGTCACTTGAAAACAAAAACATATCCTTCCACCTTATTCTGGAAAAGATGCAATAGCTTGAAACAAGTCTCATTATGTTTATTATACTTTCTTTTAATTGCTTATATATTTGCTTTTCTCTTTAAACATAAGAGGAGGTTGATGATGGAGTTTCTGTCTCACCTTGTCTGACAGTCATGAAATGTTCTAGTATTTTTTTAAATGAAGCTCCATGAAATGTTCTAGTTTTTTAACTTAAAATTTTTTAATTAAAAAAATTTAATTAAAATTTTATTTTATTGGTTGGGATGTTAAAAACAACAAATAAATTATTTTAGATTTATTTACTATATATGAGTGTTTTGCTCTCAGGTATACCTATACCCTACATGCATGTGTGGTACCCATGGGGGCCACAAGAGAGCATTGGATCCCCTAGGACTGTAGTTATAAGTGGTTGTGGGCTGCCATGTGGGGCTAGGAATCAAACCCAGGTTCCCTGCAAGAACTTCACTGCTGAGTCATCTCTTCAATTCTTCTATTTTATTTTTATTTTTATTTATTTATTTTTTATTAGGGTCTCACTATGTAGTTCTGTTTAACCTGGAGCTTACTCCTGAACTCACAGAGCTCTGTCTTCCTCTGCCTCCCAAGCTCTGGGATTAAACGTGTATTTCTAGCACACACAGGCTTTAGCTATATTTTTATGAACTCAGACTGACTATAGCAAATAGACAATAACCATTCATTGAATAATTGAGTAAGCAACTTGAAAACTTATGTACACTTTTTGACAATTTTAATTATAGAACTGGAAAGGTACTAAGTATGAATCATAAAACTAATGAATAAATAGTTATGAAAATCTAATTTACTTTATCCTTCTGTAAAGGCACACTTTAGCTATATAGCACAAAGCTTTGAGAGCATCCTACTAGACCACTGTGGCTTCTACAGGGCATGGCAGTACATGCTTCTTTATAATTCTAGTACTGGGGAAGAGGAAGAAGGAGACTATCCTCACTCAATTATATTGTGAGTTCCAGGCCAGCCTTACTACACGGGACCTATCTCAGAACTCACAAAACAACAAAAGGTATAGCTTCTTTTCTTTCTACAATGGCATGAAATGTACTTATAGTTATTCAAAGTTGTTAGTTATCTACCACTAACTATTGTTCAAGGCAAACGACATTCCTATCTACCCACATACACTTACAGCAAGCATTCCAAGTTACTGAGCTGTTGTATAATTTCATCTTTTGAAGATTTCTCCAATAAGTTCCAAAGTATCTCTGATGAGCGAAATAGGAGCTGTCCTGAGGGATCTGGATCATTGAGGTGAGCACAGATTCTGCCAGCTGCTTGGGCTTTCACCATTAAAGTGCAATTACCTTCTGAAAATTAAATTTAACAACTATTTATATTGCATAGTCTGTTAGAGAAAAGGAAACAATGAAGTTTTTAAATTCAGCATCACTATACACACCAGAAGTTGAGAGATGCTGTAGAACTTTAAGAACCCAAAGTTTCTCAACAAGCTGATTTTCAAGCAAGTACATGGACTGGACCATTGCTTTTGCCAGTCCTCCAACTTCAGCCATCTTGATCTTGTATGATGAGCTAACCTGCTGGTAGCCTAATACCATAACAGGAACAGTTATTTCACACAATGATTATTTAATAACAGAAACAACATCAAAAACTTTTTAGAGAACACATAGCATTTACAACTTGTACAATATAGAGATGGGCAAAGTTATCTATAAACAGCCAAGCAGTATGTATTTAATCATTGAAGGTTATTATGATCTGTGCCTGGATTATCTGGTTCTCTCAGATATTGTAGCATGATATCATAGCAAGAAGAAAGCCATAAATGAAATGAAAAAAATGGACATGGTTATGTCCAATAACATTTAATTTACAATATGCCAGTTTTGTCCTAGGGGCTCCGTAGTCTTTTGGCCTTGAAATAAACCCACAGAGTTTGGAAACACATCTTAAATTCTAAAAACATACATATGACCAAACAGAGCAAACAAACAAAAAACCCTATGTATATGTCAGTAAGTAGTAACTTTCTGTAAAGCCATAAAGCATGGTTACAAATACTTTTCTTTTTCACTGTATGTGATAATGGACTGCTTCAACTCTTTCAAGGGGTAAGAATTACATTATATCAGCAGTAAATTAGAGGGGAGAAATAAAAGATTATGAATTCAGGGATATGTTAGGGCAGCTGAATAGCATGACTTACAAAACTTCATTCTGCTGCAGGTCCCATGAGACACACTGCCACTTTTGCCAGCTGCACAGATCACTGCTTCATTGTTTATAGTCATGGGGATTAAATAAACACCACAGTAAGGGGAATCTGTCTTCCCTCAGTGATTTCAGGACACCTTGACCTTTGACTCCAACTAGGCTCTTTAGCTATGACACAGTTTTGAGATGTCTGTCAGTTTGTCTTAATTTTCTGAGTTTGGTCTCCAGGCCATAGACAAGGCCCTGTTCACACCTGGGTTATCTGGGTGTGTGTGTGTGGGGGGGTATGACCTATATACTCACTGTGAAAGGTATTTACAAATGTAGAGAGGGTAAGAGCACTTGCTCTACAAGCATGAGAACTTGACTTTGAATCTTTAACATGAAGGTAAAAATCTTGGCATGGGCTGGCATAGTGGCACACACCTTTCATTTCTGCATTCAGGAGGCAGAGGCAGGCAGATCTCTGTGGGTTCTCTGCTAGTCTAGCTTACACAGACAGTACCAGGCCAGCCAGGGGGACATAATGACACTATGTCACATCAATAACAATAAAAACAAACAAAACTTATCAACAACAAAACCAAACACAAACACAAAAAAGCATGGCATGGCTACACACCTGCCTGTGACTCCAGGGCTTGGGGGTAGTCAGTAAGATTGCTGGGGCTAAATATTGGTTTGAAGATAAAAATGAACACAAAGAAAGGTCTAGAGAACTACAAGACTGCTCCCAACTACCAATTTGAGCTTCCGTGGAAAGGCTATCATAAATGCCCTTCCGGGAGAGTGAGATCAACAACTAACTTCTCCATGGAGCCCTCAACTAATGCCTGTTGGAAACAGGATCAAACACCCATACATAAACACTGAGTTGAACTAGAACCCAGATGCAGATGGAGAGGACAAGACCAGGTGGCAGAAACACATAGAGACAGCTTACCTGAACAAGGAGGAGCTAACGGGCCACTAGACTGATAGCTGGGAAGCCAGCATGGGACTGACTCAGGCCCCCCTGAATATGGGTCTCAGCCAGAAGGACTGAGCAGTCTAAGGGACCTCAGACAGTGGAGCCAAGATGTATCCCTGGTGCACAAAAGGACTTTGCGAACACATCCCCCATGGAGGGATAACTGCCTTAATCTAGAGACAGGAGAGAAGCCCTAGTCCCTACTTCACATGACCTGTCAGATCTACATGACCCCAACTGGATGGCATTCCCCTACATATGGAATTGGGGTGGGGGGATGGGAGGGGAGGGTGATTAGAGTGCATGTGAGAGGGCAGAGAGGGTAAAAGGGAGGGAAGAAGGAAGGGAGGGAGGGAGAGGGAACTGGGATCGACTTGTAAAATAATAAATTAAATTAAAAAAATTGCTTTGACTCCAAAATTTAAGTTGAAGGACAAGTTACTGGGGAAAAGGATTTCTATTTTTGTTTCCAAAGAAAATGAAAAGCTGTGGATTCCTTCCAGACTAATGTGGTTTGACCACACCAGACCGCCTGAAACAGAGTACAAGGGGATCCTACATTCAAAACAGCTGGACAAAGCAGCCCTACAGATTACAGCCAGGTTTTCTGAATCTTCTTTAAATCCCCCATGACAGCGCCCCTTACCAGCAGGAAGTAGTTTGGAAAGAACAATGCCCAAATTCCCAAATATTGTGTATAAATGTTTGTTTTCATTTAATTGGACTTTGTTATATAAAATAAATTTAAAAAAATGGACTCAATGAGCTACAATTAAAAAAAAAAAAAAGATTGCTGGGGCTAACTGGCCACAAGCTTAACTCTAGGTTTAGTAAGAGACCCTGTCTCAAAGGATTAGGAAGCGACAGAGCAGGATGCTCTCAACTGCCTGTACACATACATGAGCATATACCATATATACATATATATATATATATACACACACATATATATACAGTGCATGCACACACACATACATACACACATATACATATATAAAAATTTAAAAATGAAAATACAGACATTAAAATTGCTTATAATTTTACCATTTAAAGATAATGTTAACATTTAATATATTTCATCTAATTATTTTTATATGTACATAATTTTAACAGCACATTCCATGTAGAATTTTATACTCTACTGTAGCCCATTCACAAAAAAATGCTTTTCCAACTCATGATTTTAGTTGCATAAGTCTTTTGTATGGGTGATCTGAAGTAAGTGCTTTATTCTTGTTATTTTTTCCCACTGAGTTTACAGTTCTATTGAAGGACACAGTAACATCTAGTCTCATGAACCTAATAACTCCTGTGTCCAGGACTATATATTTTCCAATCACTCTACTGAGGACTTTCCAGCTGTTGTCCTAAACATCCAGCCATGCTTATGACTTGGGACCAACTGAGAAACACTTTTAAGTGTACTGCCTACAACTCTCAATTTCCAGTTTGATTACATCAAGGTTATACTTACTTCCCTGCACCTCAAAACTCCTCTGTCTTAACTCATGCACCACTCTCTTTCTGTTTTGAAAATAAAGTTTTGTTTGTCTCTCAAGACAGGTTTTTTTTCTTCTTTCTTCTTCTTTCTTTTCTTCTTCTTCTTCTCCTCCTCTTCCTCTTCCTCCTCCTCCTTCTTGCGTAGCCCTGGATATACTTCAACATTCTTTGTAGATCATACTGGCCTTGAACTCACAGAGATCCTCCTACCTCTGTCTCCCAAGTGCTGGAATTAAATGTGTGTGCCACTATGTCCAGTTTTAAATGAAGTTTTAAGATATTTCTACTTTATTTTAATCCTGTTTCTCTTGGTGCACGTTTGTGGCAATGTATGCTACAACCCACGTGTGTCAAGGCATTTGTGTAGAGGTCAGAAGATGACCTGTGGGAGTCAGTTCTTTCCTTCCACTATGTGGGTCCTGAGGATTGAACTCAAGTTGCTAGCCTTGGCAGCAGATGCCTTTACCCACTGAGCCATCTTGCCTTTAAGAGGTGTCTCTATTTTGCTGAATCAATTCTAGGCTTGTGCTCTTAACTACAACATGTTACCAGTTGGCTCCTGTTCCCCATCTTCTTGTTTGCTTTGCCACTTCAATTCTAAGTACGAGTTTGTATTTATGAGCCGTCCCTGATTCACTCTCAAGAGCCTGCTTCTGGTCTCATGATCCTTTCATATTTTTATAAGATCACCATTGTCAGCAGCTCTCAAACATTAACTACAACTACACTAGCTTGGGTTTTCCACCCATCATTACAGAAGTGCCTTCATTAAATACTTCATTCATTAATACACACATGATAGTCTTTAGGTTTCTTCCCCTGATAAACACAAATTATCTCTCACATTTGAACATTTCTTTCAGGATGGGTACTTTTTATAGAAGATGCTACACCAAGTATTTTGCATCAGTCTTTTCCAGATACATCGATAGGCTTATTCTACACTAAAACTTTTCATGAGATTTTGACATTACTGTGACAATTGACAGTCTTAAAAATTACTTTTCACACCCACATGATATGGAGTGAATTCTTATACATGACTCTAATGAGGACTTTTCATATTTCTTCTCTTCAGAGTTTCTCCCCATAGCATGCTCTATCTATGAATTGAATCAAAATAATGACAGTTGTTCTACACAGCTTATATTAATACAAGTTATCTGCATTTGGCATTCTCCTGAGTCCTGGAAAGTCAGTTATGTGACAATAAACAGTTCCTGCTGTGGAACAATCATTGTATACTATAAATAAATATTACTCTCATTGGTTAATAAAGAGGTGACTGGCCTATAGCTGGGCAGGACAGATTGGGCAGGAGATCCAGACTAGGAGAATTCTTGGAAGAAGGGCAGAATCAGTAGAGTCACCAAGAGACACAGAGAGAGCAAGACAGGCTGGAGGACAGGTAATGCCATGAGCCACGTGACAGCACATAGATTAATAGAAATGGGTTAATTTAAGTTGTAAGATCTAGATAGTAATAAGCGTGAACTATTGACTGAGCATTTATAATTAATATTGAGTCTCCTTGTTGGTTATTTGGGAACTGACAGGTGAGAAAGAAAAGTGTGCCTAAAATTTCCCATTGCTCAAGGATCCTTTCCAGCATGAGTTAATTTATATTTGTGAAAGAAGGCTTTCTCACATTGCTTACAACACTGAGTTTCTCTTTTTTGACAAAAGTTTCTGCATGCCTTTAATAGTAGAACAACTGAAGGTTTTACCACAGTGCTTAAATAAGAAAGGGTTCTTTCTTCTGTGAATCCTTTCACATATGCAAAAGGACCTGAACCACTCAGGGATTTTCTACATTGCTTACATACATAGTTTTTCCACCAATGTGAGTTCTTTCATGAATGTGGATTGTTGTGACCACCACAATGCTTTATCACAATGCTTACAAACATAAGGCTTCTCTCCAATGTGTTATTTCACACATTTGAAGGGAACATGGATGACTGAAAGTTTTCTCACATTGCTTACGTGCATAATGTTTCTCTCCAGCATAATTTCATGCATATCTGAATAGAACAAGATAACCACAGGCTTCCCCTGACATTGCTTATACTCACAGACTTTCTCCCTGGAGCAGTTTCTCTCATGTATTAGAAATGAACTGGAACAGTCAAAGGCTTTTCCATATGGGAGAGGATCGGGTGTTCATCTGTCTAGGTTGTAAGTTATTTCTCCTTGAATAAACATCTATTCGGCCTATTTGTTTATCCTGATCCTTATTTACCGCAATACATATGCCTTACATTTATGAGTTTTCTCTGTACTGTGTGTTATCACATGTCTCTGAATGTAAGCTTTCCCACTTTGTTTATCTATATATGGTTTCTCATCACTATGTGCCCTTTCATGTTTTGAAAAGAACTGGGCATGGTAGGTAGCACTTTGTGTTCCTTACATTTATTTATGTGGTTTCTCTGACACTCAGTGAACAGGCTGAGCTTTGGAGGGCACATTTGGAGATGGAAGGGCAATACCTACTTCTCCATAATACAAATTTCTCATGGTTTATACCAGGAGGAATTTTCTTGTTCAGAATATAACCTAGAGACTGGCTCAACATTTCTTCACATTGTTTACACATAATCTTTGTACCATTTGACCATTTAGGATTCCCCTGAGGTTTTTGTACTTCTCTCCAATGTTCTGGCTTTCTCCTTTTTTGTCCTTTTCCAGCTTTCTGGTGTCTCAGGTTCTCTCCATGGCTGTTCTCTCCTTCAGCCTCGTCAGGTCACAGTGCAGGAAACAGGGCAGCCTGCAGTCTCAGCAGCACACATGGCATCTCAATGACAGCAATGCCAGACAAAGCCCCTCCTCTTTTTGAACATTTCTATTCTTTGGACCCTTTTTAAGCTTCCCTTAATTCTTTCAAGCATATTTTCCAATTCTCAACATGAACACTCTTTATAATGTTCTTCTTGGTCCCTTGCTGTTTACATGATTTATTTCCTGACTAATTCAATCACTGACAGTTTGGATTTTCATTCCCACTCAGTGAATTTCAAGCCTGTTTTTCTTATCCCTAGTGATTTTAGTATCCAGTATCTACTATTCACTGAATTCTCCAGTCTATCTACTTGAGACTTCACATTGTATATTTAATAATCTCCTTATGTATTTCACTAACTCAGATGTCTTTCCATGTTCTCCTTAGTCATACAGTTTTTAGACTACCATCAACTTATTTTTACCTATTTAAAAACATATATCTTCACAATATCACTTATTTATTCCCCTTACTATTATATAATCAATGAAGATAAGTATGTCTTAAATAACATATCCTAACAATGCTAATGCTTGATATAATCTACTCACCAGTATATATTAATATTTCCTAGCTATAACATACAGAATTCTTCCCAAATTTAATACAGAATGCCACCACTATTAGTAATTTAGCATCTACTTGGATGTATTGATATCATGATTAAATAATTTTATTTACAATGCTAAAAAATACTACCAGTAACAATTAAACTTGATTGGCTATGCCTTTATCAACTGGACCATAAATATTTATCATCAAGATAAAAATTTGATGTAAATGCCCAAACAAAACAAAACAAAAACTCATACAATTTTTAAGGGTAACTGAAGTTAAAGCTATACAAAAATTTTATTTTTATGTGTTGAATCCATGAGTCCCTGTGTTTTCAAAGTTAATGAAATATGAAATAGTGAATTTTTTGTTTCGTGAAGACACAAAGATACATGAAACTTTACCTGGAATATGCTTCTTTGGTGGTTCTGCATGATAGAAGTCAACAATACACTTACAAATTTGTATCCTTAATTTAGAACTTGGTATTTTCATTAATTCACCTGCCAGAAAGATAAAGGAAGCTGATGTAATAAATAACATGTTATAAGTTTATTTTAAATGTAAGCATGTGACTCCAATATTATAATAGTTATCTGAAAATCTCATCAGATATTCATATTGGGTTTTATAATTACATGTGTGATCATGTGTATTTGTGCACACATACACTGCACCACAGTCATGCATCCCTTCATATGAGGATATTTTCGAGGAAATTCCTTGCTAGGTGTTATTTTTATATGAATAACACATTGTGTACTTACACAAACTTGATATTAAGTTAAGCACAAGAGAGAACAGAACACCTGAGATACATAGTGAATGCAAGCTATTGGAGGGTGCTGCTGGCAAAGAGTATAATGCTTGACAGTTACTTTAAAAATAGCAAGTAGAAAGGACATTTATTTATTTAAATGATAAAATATAGTAAATAATAAGCTAGGGACACAGGCACTTGCCACTTACCAAGTGTTATGTATTGTATACAACTATGTTGCTGTATTTTCATATATCTGGCATTGGGGGGTTGCTTCTAACACCATCACCACAAACAGTAGGTGCTATAACTTTGTGACCCAATGATAAATTTATAGGACCACTATCTTATTTATGTTCTAATGTTGGGTAAAATGAAGTGATATAGTGCATTACAGTATATGTGAACATACATATATATGTACATATGTGTCTGCATAATACTTTGAACCTATCCTTACATATTTGATACCTCAATCATTTCAGCCTGTCATTTCCGGACAGAACCAAATGACACTAATAATATCGATACTGGAGCCTGACCATCCAAGAATAAATTCTGACTCTGCTACATACTAAAAGTGTATAAACTAGTATTTAAATTTTTTCATCTGAAATGGGCTTAATAGTTACCACATTTAAGAATTCTGTAAAGGTTGACTTCACATGAGACAAGGGCTGAGAATAATGGTTAAATCATTGTTAAATGCTACATGTGACAGTTACCGTTGATAAAATATAGGTTAGCATTCTTTCAGGCTACTCTCAGAAACTTGTGATTCATAGTGTATTCTTTTCTTAAAATTCCTTATTAGCTTTGCTCTCAATTTGCTGGCAGACTGAAAGGGAGGAATTTCAGGGCATTCTTTGTCTCAAAGGCATAATTCTGTCTAAGTATTTTGCAAGAAGATGAAGGACACAGTGTTTCTTTTCAGTTGTATCTATACTATTGCTGAGTTTGATTTGGCAAATTCAATAATTCAAGCTAGACTGCATTCACTCCTTTGAAGTCCAAACAAGAATGTTCCCCAGGAGGGGGCCTGCTCTTTTCTGAGGGGATGCAAAGGGAGGTAGATCTGGGGGGTTGGAGGGGAGTGGGAGGAGGCTGGGGAAGAGGGGAAACTATGTTTGGAATGTGATACTTGAAAGGAGAATAAGAAAGAATGTTCCCCAGGAGAATCTAAAGATAATCTGTGGGACTCTACAATGACCCTTCCCCTCTGGATGCCTAAGGACAACTAGAGTCAGCTTGAGGAATAAACTGGATCAGGCTGGATTCTCTGAGTAGAAGAGAGTAAAGAATTCCATTAAGACTTTAACATTCACTTCCAGCAGGAGTGGCCAGTGGGTGAGGGAGCACAGAGACAGGGTGGAGCACTGGCCAGTGGGTGAGGGAGCACAGTGACAGGGTGGAGCACTGGCCAGTGGGTGAGGGAGTATGGAGATGGGGTGGAGCACAATACAGGACTCATTCTTGCTTTAGCATATCCAGGACTCATTCTTGCTTTAGCACTATCTCAAGAAAGTTGTCCCTTCATAATGTCAATGATAACTCCTTTCAACTCCTTACAAACATGTTTGGAGCTTCATTTGGAGGTAGAATGTCACTGTGTGTGTGTGTGTGTGTGTGTGTGTGTGTGTGTGTGTAACAACAGGCAAGGGTAACAACTAAACTAGTCAAACTTAAGTATGGGAAACTCTCACTTTCACATTGCTTCTCTCTCTTTTCAGTTACCACAAATTAAGAGTGTTCCTTACAGCTCCTTGCTTTATTATTTTAGGTCAGAGTAGCCTAAATAATCTGTCATTTATTTCCAGAATTCTTCTCCTGAGTCAGAAATAGCTACATATCATTTAGATGAAATTGTAATATCACTTATCAGTACATGGTAGAACCTGGGAGTTATTAGCAATGGTCATGACTATATTTTATTCAATATTTCATATTGTATATTTTCAATTACTTCATGTTTCCAGCAATTAGGACATGCAGGGGACAGAGCAGTATTGCACTACATAATCAGTGAAGGGAATTCGTAAGACGTTAAGAACTCATATTGTCCTCAGTGGCACAGTAATGTACTGTTACTAACAGTAATCTGATGATAAGTCATGTATTATAAAAACGTCTGCCAATTCTTAAAGAGGTGGCACTCTAGAACAGTGGGGCCAAAAGAGATACTTGAAAATAATATTACCAACAAAACCTATATTTTTTAATATTAGCATGTCATCTCTTAGGATGGCTTTGGATTTAACTTTTCCACTAATAACAGAATTAAAATCTCCCATTTCTTCTGAGCCTGCCTGATTCTTAAGGTTTCCTGTAACTCTCCATGTTTATTCCAGTCTAAGTGATACTACTTTGCTCTACTGTTTGAGATGAAATTAGGAATTTTACTCTGAGTAACTACAGTTGAAGATGATGAAACTTAGACATAAAACAATTATAAATAATATTTAATGTTAAAAACAAAAGTGCATTTTATTCACTTTAGTTGACACTCTAAAAACTGTTTGTATGGAGTATAGCACCCAGAAAATAATAGTTTTAAAAGTTTATCAACCCTTTACCTATTATTTTACTTTTACAAATAAAGACTTAAATTAGTAGCTGTAAATTTAACTTCGCATTTGTTTGAGAATATATCATCATGTCCCAGGGGCCGATTATCAGAAGGTGTTTCATATAATCTCATTTCTTAGGAAATTATTTTCCTATTTCTAAAAAATAAAAGAGACAAGATACATATACATGCATACTCTTAAGATGACATTTTTCACATTTGATTTATTTAAGAGTTTGGAGTGTGCAGGGAGCACTCAACGGTTTCAGCAACTCAATATAAGAGCCCAAATGTGAAAACACTGCATGATTATTAAATGAACACTGCATGGAATTCCACCTCTGGCTATGCAGCTATTGGGCACTGACTGCTGTGGTGGGAGGGGAGACTGGTTTCTTCAAGAGTGTGTGTGCCAGTGAAAAAACACTCATTCAAGAATATTTGGGCAGCACAAATTCGTCTCGATGAGCAGAAGTACAGTATAAAGTTGGGTGTTAGAGCTAGAAAGAGTTGGGGGAGGGGTGGATATGAGCAAAAGATGTTGTATGAACCTCTCAAAGTAATGAGGAAAAAAGGTTAACAAACCCAAAACTAAACCATATATCAAATCAAATATGTACAAAGAAGTAAAAGCCAGTCTTGAACATCTCAGAAGAAAACAGCTCCAGAATCGTCTTGAGTACACAGTGATAACTTTCAACTATAAAATATGGGAAGAGCCTTGGTGTGGAGGATACTGTTAAGGAAACAGTGAAAGAAGACACACCCATTTCCCCACATTGGTCCTGCCATCTTATATTCCCCATCTAAGAAATCTTAACTTACCCAGAAGTGCAAGTGAATTCGCAGTATCTTCAGTGTAGGTTATTTCATCCGATACCTTCTTTTTCAAAAATGGCAAGCTTCAATAAGAGTAAAGGATGTCAGAGTAATATTTAATGGATTCCTTGATTGATGCATCACTTATAAAAGGGGAAATATTTATTTTCTAAAGAATAAAGTGATACTCTCTCCTAGCCTATCTTATTCAGTGTGGAGCACTGACAACCATCAGAAAGAAAACTGTGTTTCTAATTAACCAACCAGAGGGGAAAACAAAAAATAAAATAAAATAAAACAAAACACTTTCATAAGAATGAAGACAGGCATGAGTCAAGAAAGCAATCTTCCATCACTGTTGATAAAACACGAATTGTCTTTCTGACAGTGAAGTCATAGTGAATTATAGTTGTAATCACAGCTAGGAAAATCAACTAAAACTTAATACGTTTAGTGTTTTTTCCTGAAGTTTGTAAAGCAGAAGGTACCAGATTAAAGGTCTATTTCTTTCCAAAGGTCAGTGCCCCCTCTTTATTAACTGGACTAGGAACTAGTCATGAAAAAAATAGAATGCTTTGGGGAACAATAAGGAATTCAACTTTAAAATTTTAATTATATTAGAATTGCAATTTACAGTTTCTATAATCAAAGTCATCTGAAAATACTTATTTGTAAACCACAGAAGCTTATAAATTGTGGGTCTTATTCTAAATTTCAAGGGACAGATAAAAGTTACTTCTTAAAATATAAACCGTTTGAATCTCCTGTGCTGTTTGAAGTACAACGTATTTATACAAATGACTTCCAACTCACATCTTTCAAAGACACTTACCAAATAGTTGGAAATGGCATTGAGAATTATCATATGTGGATATACATTGCACAAGTTAATTTGAATTTATAAATATATCAATGCAAGCTACAAAGAGACACTATTATAACTTCTAATGGGGACTCATTCCTTTAGAATTAAATTAGAAACAAATAAAATTATCTAGTTGACTGATGGACAGCTGAAGATCTCAAAACTCAAACTCCATATATCTTGTCCCACTTATTTTTTCCATTTGTCTATCAAAGAAGATTCCTATAGAATAAAGTATCCGGGTGAGGGAGGTCCAACCCAAAAGGCTATGTAGAAAATAACATATGCTCCTGGTACAATGAAAAAGCTTATTAGAGGCCAAAGAAGAAAAGCTTGAGGGATTTTCAGTTTTTGAATCTCTAAAATTTTCTTGCAAAGACAATCAAGTGAGGATTGGATATATGGAATGCTGAATATAGGTGGACATTTGAAATGTAAAAAAAAATAATAATGTGAATAACTTCTAAAGGAGGGAAAGGGAAGAACACAGCTGAAAAATTTTCAACATTACAAGGTGAGACATCCCACAGATGATGCTGGAGGTGATGGGCTGAACACAATCCTTTAGGATCTGCACAGCACCCACACATAGCAACATGAAAATGAATAGAGTTCCTTGAAAGCACTAGAAAAATTATTTATCTCCCTATTTGTACAATCTCTACTTAAAAGGCTAAGCATAAGCATTTGGTAAATTATTTTTCATTATTTTAGTATAGTATCAAAATTGATCCAGGATTTTTTTTTTTGTTATTTTACTGCTGCTAAATCGAAGACTTTAATGTCCCTGTATATATACATAGTCATCCTAATTGTGTCACTTTGCTATTTAAAACATTAAATTGGTAGGTAGATTTAGAAGACAAAATTACCTAAATTATTCATTTCCAACTAAGAAATTTCTTCTGCTAATAGTCCAGTGACCTGAAAATGATGATTTAAACATATGTCTAGAGCAGCCACTATGTGGCAGCAAAGTAGTATATGTGTGTGTGTGTGTGTGTGTGTGTGTGTGTGTGTGTGTGTGTGTGTGTGGTTTCCAGAACTGGTGTAGAAACTAAAATAGTGGAAGAGAAGGAATATTAATTTTATAACCCTTACCTTTAGTTTATACACACACACACACACACACACACGTATATAAAACAAAATTTTCTTTCTTATTCAAAATCACAAAATCAAATGAAACATGACATAGAACTTGATGCATTTGTGAGAGTCAAATTTCCCAAAGAAAGAAAAAAGAGAAAACCAAACTGAAACTAAGTAATGATAAGTGTCTCTAAACAAAACCTACAGTCCTTTGGCTTCATCTGTTGCTTACTGATCATGAGAAAGTAACTACTTATAAGAAAGCATTTTATACTTCAATTTAATTTCTTCTTTAGCAGTCTGAGAGTGCAATATTTGAAATAACTGCCTAAATACTTCTCTGTGAAGCCCTGGCTGTCCTGGAACTCGCCCTGTAGATCAGGCTGGCCTCGAACTCTTAGAGATCCACTTGCTTCTCCCCGCTGTGTGCTGAGGTTAAAGGTGTGTGCCACCCCAACCAGCTGAACTCTTTATTATCGATACACTACATATCCAAGTACCTCTGTAAAACAGAATAAAGCATAATGTAACATATAGCTATACCAAGTGAAATTAAACAACTCACCCACACAATTTTATGAGGTCAGATGCAGGTTCCACAAAGCAGGGCTGCTTTTCAATTTTATCTGCGCACAGACCCAGGATTTTAAACACCTGTGCCAGGTCCCTTAGAGGCTTCAGGATTTTGTTAAGAAATAAAATCATCATCAATTTATAAACACAGTTCTATAGGCCTTTCCCACAGAAAGCTTATGAAAGTCCATCTATCTTGTTAAATGTGGTAAAAATTATTTTGATTATCATTTTGAAGTCCAAAGTGAAAAGCCTATAACTATTTTTAGCAACATTATTCATTTTTGTCTCAATAACATTTATTTCAACCCACAACATAAAGAGGCACAGCTCAAGTTTTTTTAATGTAGTACTTCATTTTGTTCAGATGCATTTTTTTTTGCTAATTCACATTAAATTTTATTTCATTTAAAACTCACATAAAAGCAAAATGTTCCTCTTCTAGATCTTCAGGTTAAAAACATATTCTGTTTTGCCTGTTTAAAAAGCATAGTCACTAAAAAACTAAATTTCATTGATTTTGCTTGATGGCTAAGAGATTGTGGCGGTTCTGTTAGCTTCTGTTATGTAGCAATCACCTCTGAATTGAATTGAAACATTCATGCCTATAGGGAGAGGAGGCTCATATGCCTTAGGAAATAAAAAAAAAAAAAAAGACATTTATGAGGGGAGGGGCACACACATTGCAAGGATGTAGCTTTGTGAATTTTCTTTGTCATTAATGATGGAGTTAGCTTTTTAAGTAATGCAGCTTTCTCTGAGTCATCCACAGCCCTGCAAGTAACCCCAATAAAGTCACTAAATTAGGCTTGGGTAGAATCGTTTATTTGGTTTTGGTTTGTCATCAGTGATTTTTCTGAGTTAAATAGGTTCTGTGCATGTCTCCATGGGAAAAAAAATCATATAACATAATTGGTGTCTGAACAGACAGAAGTGAAATTGAGTTGGGGCAAAGTGAATATATGGCCCCTGCAATGTGTGATGAGACATGCATCCGGGGCTCTTCAGTTTGAAGGCAGAGTCCATGGGGGGACAACCCTAATATGGGTACCTTTGTCCATGTAAGGGATGGTGTGTCTCCTTGTTGTAGTGGTGGTTACATGCTTCCTGAGTGTGTGGCAGGATATGTAGCCAAGGCTGAGCTGTCTCAGAATGGAACACCCTTTCAGGGGGCAGGGGTCCAAATTTGGTCATCTTCTTTCATGTGGTATAGGTGATGAATGAGATCCACTGCAAAAGTATGTAGATACTCTAACAACAGTTCAAGCACTAGAGACTGCATGGTGGTCCCTCAAGAGTAGCACACACAATAAAAGACTGTCAGCAAGCTGTGCTGACCTTGGTATGTCCACTGCTATATGTAATAACATGTGCAAGTAAGGCAGACAAAGCTGCTTAAAGGGAAATGCTTGTTTTAAAGGAGGAATTACAATGGGAAGGGACATGCAACTATTACCCTCCACATTAGACTCTGATTTGGTGAGTAATTTCTACTGTGCTCCTAACAAGCAGCTAGAATTGACAGGATTCAACCGAGAGCCATAAGTCATGATGAGGAGATGGAAGGAAAGGAGAGCATAAATTAGAGCTGTACTAGAAAGCCTTTCCTGAGGTTCAGAAGCTTAGAACTTGTAGGAAGAATTCGACGGTGATGAGGACAAGAACAAATAGGAAGGAAGAGAAAACCCATGATCCAAGATGCAGGTGTGGGCCTTAGGAATGCACATCGAAGAAGGAAATGGTGGAAGTAATGAAGGACATCCCTTGCATCTGACCTTTAATAGAGAAGAGAAATCCATGATTTAACATGCTTTAACAATGGACGGCGAGGAAGAGAACATGGTCCCCATGATAGAAGACATTCCTCAGATCTGACCTTCAACATAGAAGGAAAAACCATCATTCAACATGTAGACAGAAGTCTTACTAATGGCCCAGGAGGAAGAATTATGATAACTATGCTGCTCAGCACCAGAACTGCTTGAGTTGGGAAATTCTTTGAAGTGAGTAATGACAGAGTCTGCCGCAGTCTGGTTCATGGGGCTGTGGAGGAGATGAGTAATATGACTATCCCTCTTGGAGAAAACGGGCTGCATAATCTGAGGCAAGGTGAAGAAAACCAGTTCCTTATGGCCTGACTCATGAGCTATTAGGAACACTTGGTTATTGCTGGCTCAAGTTCCCACGGATACCAGGAACTGGAAGACAATAGAGACCGGGAACAGAGGGAACCGAGTGTAGGAGAGGTGTGATTCAGTGACTGGTTCACCAGGTCAGGTAGAAATGTGTTTGATAACTAATGTTTTAAAAAGGTGTGACTCTGCTGAGCCTTACGGTGAACACAGAACACGATCTTACTGATCATGTAATTGTATAGTTATGTGATTTTGTAGAGGCTCTGGTGAATCTGACCTACATCAGCACACTAATAGGGTCTTGCTGCAACTCAAGGCTGTAAAGTGGAACACAAAACAAAACAAAACAAAACAAAACAAGAAAAACCTAAAGGAGAAGAAAGAAGGACATAACAGACAAAGGGTAAGAGTATACCTAGTATACCTAGGTTACTCTAAATCAAATGTTGCAAGATTTGTGTCCAGCCAGAGTTCCCAGGGGAAAATTGATAGAAGCTAAACTCTATGCTAGTAAACTCCTAGAAGGCCTTAAAATCTGAAAAAAAAAAAAAAGTTCAGAGAAGGCATAAATGATAAAACAATTAAGATGCAAAAGACTAAGATTGTACTGGATGAAGGTGAACGCTGCTACCAGGGAAAGTTCTGGAGAGGCCTTCTGATCCCAATGCAGCTCGTTCCTTCTTTATCACAGAGCAGCAGTCCTTCATATGGGGGGAAGATAATCAGGACTGATGCACAGTCATGCAGACAGAATCTGTCTTGTAAAGAGTGCCACCACTCCAAATCAATCAATTTTAAAGTTCCCAATGATACTTTAACATAGCTATTGTTAAAATTAAAACTCAGATATTTCTGTTAGGAGATAATATATACATATTGCATTGTTTCACTTATGGTCTCATTAAACGTGCCATGTTGTAGATGAATAAATTGTAAACTGGTGGGGAAAAAAAGACTAAGCTTGTTCCCGGAGCAGACAATTATGCTTCCAGATTAAACCGTATACAGCTCTCTCCTGTAAACAGTACGCTGGCAGTGGAAATCATTTGCCCACCCTGGACAGCACCCCTGGATGATTTGCTGGAGAGGCAATAGTAGCAGCTGCAGCTGCAGTTTCAGGCTGGAGCCTGCAGACCCAGGGAACCAACTTGAGAAGTAGATGAAAAGGGCTTGAACACTGTTCCTCCATGACTTGGGTAAGTCAGAGCAGTGTGAGCCAGGCCTGCCTAGTATTTTCTGGGTGAATAGATGCTCATGATGCTCAGGAGACTCATGACAGTGCCTCTAGATGAGAAAGAAAAGCCATGGAGAACCTAGGGATCATGGAGTGCTTAATGGCGTAGTTCTCTGTCTAAACTTCTGTATCCACAATCAATACAAGTGATGAAATCTTTTCAGGTTGCATCACTTGCTAATGTTTTACTTTAGTATTTGCCTAGATGCTGATTCCTGAGTTTCCTGACACTTGTTGAGAATAGATAGTGGTAGGCTTTCAGAGGTCCTGTTTATTCTCTGTAAAAAGGTTTCATTGCTCTATGATGGCATATAAGTTAGTTACCAATCTAGAAGCTGATGGAAACAGAAGCAAACACCCACAGCTAAACACTGAACCAAACTCCTGGAATCCAGTTGCAGAGAGGGAGGAGTGATAAGAAAAGGGGTCAAGACCAGGCTACAGAAACCCACAAAGACAGCTGACCTGAACAAGGGGGAGTTCATGGACCCCCAGACTGATAGCTGGGAAACCGACATTGTACCGACTCAGACTCCCTGAACATGGGCCTCAGTTAGAAGGCCTGGGCAGTATAAGGGACCTCTGACAGTGGAACCAGGATGTATTTCTGGTGCACAAAAGGACTTTGGGAGCACATTCCCCATGGAGGAATACTCCCTTAGCCTCGAGGCAGGAGGGAGGGCCTAGTCCCTACTCCAAATGACTTGACAGATTTTGATGATCCCTCCTAGAAGGCATCACCCTCCTAGAAGGCGGGTATGGATTGGGGAGGTCAGGGGGTATGGGAGGGAGGGAGTGAGAGGGAACTGGGATCGCTATGTAAAATAAGAAAAAATAATATATATTTATTATATAAACATATATACATATAATAAATATATATATATATATATATATATATATATAAATGGTTTCATTGCATTGAGGACTTGGAAAGTGAGTAAATACACAGAGTTTGAAGAAGCTACCTTGCACAGATAAGAAAAGCCTTCCCCTGTCTGCACATAATGTGGTTCACACGAGTTCATGAAGGCACACATAATATACTTCACTGAAAAAAGAATGTTTTAATGATCAAATAAATATCAGCCTAGATTTCTTCCTATATTCAATAAAATATTTAATAAATGAGGTAAAATACCATCCTGAACTGTAAGCCAATATATATTTTTATTCAAAAGTTTTAAGAGAATTAATGACTATACTAAAATAAATTGTAAAGAATTTTTTCCCCAGCTAAATGACAGATACCAAATGAAATCATGGCCTTCAAAAATTCTAAAACATCAGAATGTATTGGAGTAACTACAAACACACACACACACCACACATACCACACCATACACACACACACACACACACACACACACACACACACACACACACACCCATCACACACATCATACAAACACACAGTATTTTGAGACAAGGTCTGTGGATTCACCTGACCTAGTGTTTATTAGTTAGCACAAGTAGTTTCAAGTTTACAGTAATCCTCAGCCTCCTAAATGCTTGAGTTACAGTCATAAGATACCATACTCACTAATCTTTGTTTGTTTGTTTCTTCCTTCTTTCTTTCTCTCCCCCCTTCCTCCCTCCCTTCCTCCCTCACTCCCTCTGTCTGTCCATCCCTCTGTCCCTCCCTTCTTCCCTCCCTCCCTCCCTTGCTTCCTTTCTCTTTTGGTTTTCTCTAGACAGTGTCTCACCATGTAGCTCTGACTGTCCTGGAATTCACTATGCAGACCAGGTTGGCATCAAACTCAGAGATCCACCTACCTCTGTCTTCCAAGTGCTAGAATTAAAGGCATATTTTAAACCTTTACTCCATACGCTATGGATTTAATGTTGGTGTCTTCAAATGTATATAGTCTGGTGGTTTGAATGAGAAATGTTCCCCATGGACTCATGTATTCCAATGCCCGATCCTGAGCTTGTGGCATTGTCTGGGAAGGCTATGGGTGGAGAACCGTGGATGGGCTTCGGGTGTTTATAGCCTGGTCACTTCCAGTTCTTACATTCTGTTTTCTGCATGTGATTGAAAATGTGATCTCTCATCTTCCCTCTCTGGCCTCTCATTGCCATGCCTCCCCCACTATAGTGAACACATCCTACTCAACTTTAAGCCAAAAATAAACTCTTTTTCTGGGAATCTCTTTGGGTCATAGTTATCACAACAAAATGTAATGTTAATGCAAAAACACAATTCTCACCTCAGTGGAGATGAGACAGTTTCTTCTGAAGCCAAATATGAGTGAACATGGCTTGGGAACACAGATGTAGTGTCAAATTCCATGTTCCAATGTGGAAGCCATTTACAGTAAGAGAACAAAGAAAATAAAAAAGATCAAAGCATTTTTCAAGTGCTCAGACACCATCTGATGACACTTGCCCTTTCTGTTGGTGGAAACCACAGCTTTATTATGTTAATACCCTCCAAAAGGTTTTTATCTGTTAGTCACAGGATGTTAAGTCTACTCAAAGATGAGGAAAGCATGGCTGTCAGGGAGGTAAAGATAACCCAAGATAAATTGTAATTGGACTCTGGACCTATAATATTCCAACCTCTTCATGGTCATTGAAGTTCTTATTAATTAATCAGCTTTACAAGGAATTTCCATTTGAAGGAGTACTTTCTTTCTTGGAAGCTCCCCGCCACCCCCCTCCCCCAGAATTCTCTGTTTGCTAGCATCATATTTTCTGGAGGCCACATATCATTTTTTAAAAATATTATTATACATCCCTCATAGATAGGAATACTCATTCCTCAAATCTGATGTAGTTGAAGCTGGGGAGTAGGCAGGACAATAGTTTTCAGGGGAGAAGAATAGGCAGTAAATCCATTAAGGAAGAAACTCCTGGATTATATCACAACTATTAGCCATCATGATCTGAATCGGTCCCCCTTTGCACTTTTGTCTATCTATAGCTGCTGTAACATATAATTAGAATTAAAATAATCCAGAACACTGTTTTGAGTGAATGTAAAGGATGAAGGAAACACACATGCACACACACACACACACACACGGGGGGGGGGGGGAAAGAAAAGTCATAAGATTACTAAATGAAAATCTAGTGATGGGGTAGGGTACTTTCTTGTGATTTATTGGCCAAGAAGTTTTCTCAAAGTGCCCAAAACCATAAAAGCTATTGCCACTGCTACTGACTGCAAGTCCCTATGTTGAAGATACAATATGTTTTGGTCATAGGATGTGAAGAAATTAAACTGAGACTAAACTGGAAACTTTCTCCCTACTAGCTGTCTTTGTAGTGCCAGAGGAATTATGTAGATTGCGAAAGGAGAATTGTTATCAACAGTCCTCCCTAGCTATATACACACTGCAAGTACTACGGTACCAACATTCTGTGGAAACTATACCCACTAATGCGACTGGGGCACAACTGTTATGGATGCAACCAGCTTCTGTTTGTTTTTAAGACCTCCTCCATAGAAAAGATCCACATCAAGAACTGACAGCCAAGTGGAAAGCCAATGGCTGAAGAGGTCACAGGTCTCAATGGGGATGCAACTACTACTGCCTTGTTAAATAGATTGAATCTGCTTGTTATTATCACCTTCTAAACACTTCTCACTATGCCTATAGATTACTGCTACTGCCAGCCTTAGTCAAAAAGGGAAACTTTCTTTTGAAATGGGTGTTGTACTTCAGAGACTTATAAAACATCAAATTTCTGGGATGACTTGACTGTTGCTCAATACTTTGCCACAGACGAAGGAAACTAATCAAACATCTATATCACTCTCTCCAAGGCTTAAGGAAAAATGCAGAAGGGAAGGCAGAAAGAACATAAGAACTTGAGGAAGGGTGCAATGTCATGTAGAAATTTCCTTCTAAGTGAAGAATTCTCTCCTAGAAAATGGACAGAGGTTCCTAAGGCTCAGGAAATAAACTAAACAAGTTTCATAAAGTCCCTCTCCTAGATCGTATTAGAGCTACATAACTGCTTGGAATTGGAGATTTTGCAACTGGCAAGCTAGGCAGGAAGTTTCAATGATGCAGCTTTTAGGAATCATCACTCCAGATGGGGTGGGTGTGTCAGTGCGGCAGCTGCCTCTGAGTCATTTATGCTCCGGGTAAGCAACTGTCTGTGCCTACCTCTGCAAGTAACCACAACAGACTCACTGTTTCACTAAGCTAGACTGGATAGAATCTCTCTTTTAGTCTGTTATCAGTGATAGTTAAGTAAATAGATATGTGTTCACATCAACCCAGGAAAGGCCTCATAATAATTTCCTAGGGAAGTGATACTCCCTAATTTAAAGTCTTAGGATATCTAAAGTCATCCTATTAAAAACTTGTTATCAACTGTCTAATCCTAAGGAAAAACAATGATGGAGTTGCTAAGTTGCCAAATTAAACAGGGAAAAAAAATCACTTTCTAGTAGAGTTTCTTGGCTACCAATAATTAGTACTAAATATACAAAGTTCTCAAACTGCCCCAACATAACCTCATAAAACAAGGCTACTATAAAGAAAATACTTAGAGAAACTTATATGATGTGTACACATTGCTTAGTTGTCTCAGACTGCCCCAACACATACTCATAAAACAAGGCTACTATAAAGAAAATACTTAGAAAAACTTATAAGTACACATTGCTTAGTGGAAAGCTTAAGATGTTTTGGACTGGAAAAAGTTATTATTAGATGCACATCTTTAGACCAAAATCAGACAACTGTCAGCAAAGAGTCAGTTCAGATATACCCAAAGTAGGGTCTATGGAGCTCTTCTCTGGAGTTCTGTGTTACAAGTCTATGGCAGATGGGTGCAGATGAAGAAAGATTTGGTTGTTGTTTTGAAGCAGGGTGTCATTTAGCCCAGGCTGTCCTCACACTTACTATGTATGGAGGCTGGCTTTGGAGTCTTGATTCTCTACCTCCTAAGTGCTGAGGTTATAAGTATGAGTTACCACACCTGGCTTGAGAGTAGACATTTCACAACATGTATAATAATCTAGTGTAATTATGAAACTGTTATATTTTGCAAATCATCTATAAACAAAAATTTAAAAAACAAATAGCCATTAGCATGAAATTGGTTATTACACACAGACAGATAGCGTTGAGGTTTGAACACTGGTTCCTACCTATTGTGATAAGGGGTTATTATCTCATTTGATCTTCTTAATAACCTAATGAGGGAGGATCATTCCTATTTTATAAGGGAAGAGACAGTAAAATGGTAATCAAGGTGAAGCTCACTATGTATACTGGCAGAAATAAGACTGATTTGGCCTTTCTAATCATATTAATGGCCTTTGAATCTATAGGAATTGACATTATCAACAGATAATAACAATATAATGAAGAGAATAATGGCCTCCTCAGTGATATTCATGTCTCAGGAACCTTTGAAGAGGGTAAGCTGAGCAAGCCAGTAGGCAGTATTCCTTCATGATCTGTCTCTAGGTTTCTGCCTTGAGTTCCTGCCCGACATCCTTCCATAATGAACTGTAAACTGTAATCTGAAACAAACCCATTGACTTCCATGTATTTTATTGGTCATGGCATTTTTATCACAGAAAAAAATGTAAACAAGAACAGGAATATTATGCTAGACTACCCAGATAGGCTCAGTTGTAATCATGAGGATCCTTGTAAGGGGACATGGGTGACAGGAGTGTCAGAGGCAGGAGGATGAGATGCTGTAACACAGAACAGGTGAGAGTGATATCACAGGGAAGTACCAGTTCATGAGCCAATGCTCTGTAAGAAGCCTACTGCGGGTAGGAAAGTCAAGGAAATGGGTCCTCACCTCCCTCCTGAATCTTCAGCAGCATCAGCTCCTGCTAACACCTGGACATTAGCCAAGTAAGATGAACTCTGAGCTTCTGGTCTCTACAACTATCAGATAATAAACTTACCTGGTTTGTGATACCTTGTTAACACTTTTTAGTGTTTCCAGATGAATGAAATGAGCACACACACACACAAAGGATACAAATCCATTCTGATAATATTGTACCAGTTTTGTGACACTATTAAGTTGTTTTTCTTTTAAGTCATCCTAAAACAAAAGGTCTGTTAGTTCACTTGTGCCATTAAATTAGTTAAGATTTTAAAAATTTATTCAACAAATAAACAGATTAAAATTACTAAGTAATTCTACATAAAAAGCAAATATATACATGGATACAATATCACATAAAGAAAAGAGAATAAGAAAGGTTAAATATAACCTTCCTTATCATCTAAGGAAGAACTGAATTCAATAATGGACATGTATTAACAAAGGAAATAAAGCAAACAGTGTTTTCTGGTATTCTGTAATAGGCTTTTTGCTTTGATTATGGATAAATGCACAAAATATACTAAAAACTGAAACAAAATTGTATGTGAAGCCTCACAGCTTCTGTTCTTAATGCCAATTCTGATGGTATAAAAGTTCACTGAATCATATAGACTTTTGGTACAGTTAATATGCCTCTACACAGTAATGTGTTTTCAAAACTTGTGTGTCAACTAAAAACAAAACTCTGTTATGTATTCTCCTCTTTTATCTCACACTTACTGTATATGTGTGTGAGTGTGCATGCATGTGTGTACTAAAAACAAGACTCTGTTATGTATTCTCTTTTATCTTACACTTATTGTATATGTGTGTGAGTGCACGTGTGGGCATGCATGCATGAGTGCATGTGTGTGTGTATGTGTGTGTGTGTGTGAACGTGCAAGCATTCTATGGCACACATGAGGACATCAGTGGATTCAGGGGTTTGTTCTCTCCTTCCACTATGTGGGTTCTAGGGATTGAAATCAAATAGGTTTGATAGCAAATGCCTTAACCCAGTGATTTATCTTGCCTGCCTCTACCCCATTTCAAATCAAACTGTTTACGAAAAGTGCTGGCACTGTCTGTATTTTCCACTCTTCCTTCAAAAACAACTAATAGGAACTCTCCATGGTGGTGTTTTACTTTTTAATGTGGATATATTTGCAATTTAAACACTTAGACTTCACAAAAAACCAGTCATCAAAAGATAAATTACTCTTGGTGGTTTTTATTTTTCTTGCTCTAAAAAAAGTGGAGACTAAAAATGTTTAAGCAATAGCAAGATGTGTTTCCTAATCATAGGATGTTGCTTTGTTTTGGTGGCTGTACCTGAGTCAATCTATTTTCTATTTATTTAAAAACATGTGTTCATCTTTGAAAATGACTACAGGTAATTCTGCAGTGAGTGCTAGCTCTGAGGCACTTGCCAATACCTGGGTAACCATAGGAGGGTGCTGTGTGTGTACATGTATGCATACACAGTTACTATATATTTTTGAGTCTTATAGAAGAAAAAGTATTTTCTTTGCATTCTCATTTTTCTCAGAACAAATCATCTATGTCTATGTATAAATCTGTTTGCATGTCCTCACTCAGATTAGAAATATTCTACTAGTTATTTAGTGTCCTTATGCTACAATGTCTCCTCTGTAGTCCTACTTGGAAAGAATTATTAACACAGGGTATATGACTCTTTCTCTACTCTTAAGGCTATTAACACAAGAGAGTCCTTTCTCTGCTCTGGCTGATCCTTTTGATTATAGCCAATATGGTTGGGTTTGGCCCTATTATGAAACAAATTGGTCCTCACACTAAATTTAAACATTTAATATAAAACATGCATGTGGGAAAAGTTTTCAACAAAAGAGATAATATTTACATTAGAGGAAATGCCTGTTACTGTTCAGGGAAATATGAGCTTCTAAGTGATACAGCAAAGTAACTTCTCCAAGGGTACTCACCTTATCATTCTCTTCAAGGAGTCTGATGATACGATTAAGGTCCATAGGCTTGACAATAGCCTAGAAACATACAGCTCTTATTATTCCACCCCAGGGTAATAAAGGAATTAAGTCAAGCATACACATTCCCACCCACAGCCCCACACACGTGTTCTCTGAAATTTTCCTAAAGTGCATCTCAGTCATATCTGCACCCACTCCCTCTCTCCACCTTCCCAACCCCCATTTCCCCATTGTATCTTTTTTCCTGCTTCCAGTTTTAATTTTTTTATAACCCGCTGTGTCCATGTAAAGCCACCCCTATGTACATACATGTTATGAGGTTATTAAGTCAGGCATGGGCAACCTGCCAGTGGCCAACCATCAAAGAAAAGTGACTCTTAATCCCACCAATTGCCAATGGCTTCTCATCCACGGGTGAGGCCTTGGAGAACCTTCCAATTGTTAACTATAACTATTAAATTGTTAAATTTACCATGAACAAACAGTTTGGTAAACTTAATTTTGCCTTTGAAGATTTGGAGTTTTAACAATGTGGTTTTAACTTGTGGTTACTTTCTCTTTCTCATTTCTTCCTGAGTTTTCAGATTTTATGGATACAGATACAGCTACAGTCAAATAGTAGCCTTTTGTGTTATAACTTCTAAAATATTTGCTTTGAGGGTTAGACAAAGGGATCAGAATGAAAACTTGATGCATGATTTTTTTAATCCCATTTTTCTTCCCCAGAGAATCTTTCATAAAAAATGGGGAGCAGCAAGAATTTCTTTTGTATTTACTGCACAGCATCACATTATGTTTCTCTGTATACATTCTACCTTCCCAGCCTCTATAAGTTTTAGTTGGCAGGCTCTATGTTTCATGTATGACAGGCATACTGTCCTGACTTCAGGTAGCTATCAGTATGCAATGGAATTACACAGAAGGCTCTGGATGTCATACAGAGGTCTTAGGAAGCCTCTGAATTTTTTGAGACTGCGTATGTATATACACGGACAATGGCCAGACTTGTCTGTTGATAATTACTTATGGACTCTAGTTTGAACTCAGGCCCAACATGAAAATTTTACAGCAATCCACAAAGGCAAGCCATAGTTTCTACAAAAACAGACCCAGAAAGAGCAAAGTTTGGTCACTGACTTCCAGTTGCTCTACTGTTTACCTCTGAATTTCAACTTGGTACCAGTCATAGAAAGTCAAAAAGAAACAGCCAGCATAAAATACACAATTATGCTTCACACTGCAATTACATTGGATGTCCAGCCTCCAAACTACCTAGCGCTTCTCTGTGGCAACCATTCCCAATCACCACAACACACCCTCCATAACAAGATTTCGTGCCAGTCTTGCATTCTCTGACAAAGGTAAGCAATGTTGTTTGACTCATTCCCAACAGCAAGTGCTGACTAAATAGTCTCTGACTGATTAGAGTGGTCTTCCTCGGGATTAAGCCAGAAGAATAAAATAATAAAATAATTACTTTTTTCTGCAGTGTGGTGACCTAACTAGAGAGAACTGTACTCGGGGTAGAAAACAAGTGTGTAACTTCAGCAACACCCAGGAGGTTGAGTTTGCGGGACCTAATAAGTGACTGGATGCAGAATGGGGAGAGAAGGGAAAAGGTGAGGGTGAGTCACCAGCTTGAGGAATTATAAAAGACAGACAGTGCTGGGAAGAGGTTTGTATTGGGGCGGAGGATGAGCTCTCTCACAGGTTTCTAGTGACATCATACTGCTGACTGAGGACCCCATTTCCCAGGTTTTTCTGTGTAGCCCTGGCTCTCCTGGAAATCACTTGCTGGCTTTGAACTCAGAGATCCACGTGCCTCTGCCTCTTGAGTGCTGGGATTAAGGGTGTATGCTACCACCACCCAGCCCATTTTTCATATTGAATAACAATGCTTATCATATTTCACTTGCAGTATAGTGTAAGCATCAGGACACCTGATGGGCATGGGCTTTTGAATCATAGGTTCAGTGTAGTAACTGGAAGTTTGGGGTAAATTAGACAACTAATCACAACCACAATGTTGAGCGTCCACACTCTGTCAGGCATTATCTAGGTGCTACACAGAATCTGCTTACATAAACTATATGCTATGGAGGGCATTAAGTCAGTAAATTCTACAGTATAGGGTATGATGACAATCTTCTAGGGAAAATTAAATGGTTACAAAGCACTGGCTTGCTTGAGAAGTATAATTTCACACTCAGTAGTCAGTGAAGGGCTGACTCATAGGGAGTACTATTTCAGCAAAGTCTTGGGCTGAGGTAAGAGCGCAAGCTGTGGCTAAGGAAGGGATAATGTCCATGCAGTGGGCACGGAAAGTGAAAAGCCTGGGGGCAAACTTGAAAAGCCAGAAGGCCACAGTGATTGGAGCACGGGAGCATGTTAGATAGGGCTTACGCTTCTACTCTGAACCCAGAGAAAAGGAGCTCAGGGAAAGGCACAAAACTATTAAGATATATTTCCTGCCCACAGGAACACATAATCTAATGGAAAGCATCTAAAAGTGAAGCAATGACTAACATAAAATAGGCTATAAAAAGTAAGAGGTTGCAGGATCCAAAGCTAGAACTATTCCAGTTCTATAGAGACAGATAAATGAGGATAAAAATGAATGGAAAGCACATCCTGTTGAAGAGATGTGGGGCCTGAAGATAGGCTAAGATTACAGAAATCTACAAGAAGAGAAGAGACCGTGCATTCAAACCATTTAACATCACCTCCTATGTGTTTGGGTATTGTACTGGGCATCACACTAAAAATACTGCAGAAAAAGACAAGTAAGACTCTGCCCTCAGGGAGATGAAGTTAAGCAGTGCATCAGATAAATGTAGAGAAACAGAACTTGGGCTCCCCAGGGTCAGCATTGAACTTAGACAGTAGCAGCTTAGTGGTTCTGGGGCTTCAGTGGGGCTTAAAGGAACGCCATAAGGGCCCACACTGGTAGTGAAAGCTGATTAAACATGCAGTAGGGCCCAGATATTCCCAGTATTTTTCAAAAGCTCCTCAGAAGACTTTGATGGCCATCTAGGTTTGGGGACCACTCACCAAATACAGGCTGATTTTATAGAACAGGGAAAAAGCTTAGAGAAGTCAGGCCATTTCAAGGCAATTTTATTAGTTATGGTAAGCAGCAACAGTGTCCTGAAAGGAACTGAAGCCGAGTCTAGGGGAGGAAGAAGCCTAACAAAGGGTGAAATGCTACCTCAAGACAACAGGTTGGGCAGAGAATAAATGGGAGCCAACGGACAGGCTAAAAGGACTGACCAGCTGGGACTGATGTTGTCTGTGAGGAGAGAGAAAAGGAGAGCCAGAAAATCTCTTTGTTTGCTTGCTTCTTTGTAGTTGCTTTTCAAGACAGAGTTCCTCTGTATTGCTTTGGAGCCTGTCCTGGAACTTGCTCTGTAGACCAGGCTGGCCTCAAACTCACAGAGATCTGCCTGCCTGTGCCTCCGGAGTGCTAAAATTAATGGCGTGAGCCACCAACGCCAGGCTCGACCAGCAAATTTTTTGAGGTGCCACTTGCAGTCTCTTACTCTTTATAGCATTATCTGATCTGGCTGGGGGAGGGCTGGAATTGTGTTTCACTGTTACTGTTTTGTAATTGGAAACACAGGAAACTATTTCTAGCAAGCTTTCCAGGAATTAGCTATGAACCTTCATAGCACTGTTTATACCATCCTGCTGCTAATGATGCTCTTTGTTGCTACTCAGAGAGGGAAATGGGTCCTTCACTTAACAACACCAGCATTACCTGGAAATCTGCTAGGAAAGGAGAACAAAAAGGAGCCAGCCCAGAGCTGCAGAATCTAGGCTGCACTTCATAAGATCCTGTGTTCTTCATGCACACATTGAGTGTAGGAAGCTTTGCTCCAATGGGATATGTAATTCTTTAGAACAAGGGGGCATTAAACTAGATCTGAAATAGAGAAAGGGTAATCAACCACATGCTCCAGATTTCCACTTGAGCAAGGAAATCTGCACTGCCACTCTATCTCCTTTCTCAGAAAACAAGGCCCAATGTCCCTACTTTCCAGTAGATAGATGAACAGAGCCAAGAGCCCTGGAACTATTTCTAGAAAGGCAATCCCATAGCACCAGACCTCATAAGGTTTAGTTACCCTGTAAACATCATCAGAGTTTAATAACAACAAAAATAGAAAGGAAAGTTGTCATGATTAGAGCATCAATAACACCACACGGATCCTTATAATATAATTGATGGCCACAGTGCTAAATGCCTTGCAAATCTTTCCTAAATGATAAAAAGGCAGTCACAAATATCTTTCACACATGAAGAACACAAGACTTTTTCTGTATGTTAGTTATTTTATGTATCTTAGTTTGGTTGTTTTTGTTTTTTGTATTTCTTTTAATTTTTACTTTTTGGAGAGGCTGCAAGAGTAGAGGGCAGATATGAAGGGATTTAGAGATGAATGGGATTGGTATGCATGATGTGAAACCCACAAAGAACCAATTTTAAAAACAATAGGAAAGCAACTTCATCAAACATAATTAATGATTAAAAACCAATCACTAAATTCTAGTAGGGTTTTATTGTTTTGAAATCTGAAAAAAAGAAAGTTTTCCTAAAGCTTTGGGGATAGTTCTTGTGCGCACAGTCAAAATTCTTACACAGAAAAAAATACATTGGAATGCAAAGGCAGCATATCTATGAAAATCACAACAATGTAAAATCATACAATTAAAAGCCTACATTCTTAAACCTCTGTTTTCCCTGTTCATGACTGGCTTGAAATTTCCACTCTGTATTTTCCATAATGCCATTTTAAGGTTAGGAAGATGACCTATGGAGGTTTGGAGAGCACTTGCAGTAAATCTTGCCTCCTGAAGAGGTCTTTAAAGTATTGCTCATTAATGTTACCCATTGTATAAGTGAAGCATGTGCTTTAAAGTGTTAAGAGCAGGGTTGGAGAAATGGTTTCATGTGAAAGGCACCTGCTCCCAACACTGATCACAAGTTCAATACCTGGGACTCACCTAGTGGCATGAGGTAGCTAACTCATGAAAGCTGTCCTCTGACCTTCACATGGGTACTGTGGCATCCATACCTGCTCCAATGCAAATATGTAAGAATTTGTATATTTTAA